ACTCACGATTGAAGCCAGTTAATTTATAGTATTTAGGGTTAGGAAGTGGTGAAGTTCTTGTATGACCAATGAACTCATTTTCAACTCCCTTACTTAAGTTTGAATATAATATAGCTTGCTTTCTATCCCAAATGCCAGGTGTTACAATCTTTGAAAATTCATTTTTCCTCGGAAGCATTGCATCATAATTGAAAACATTCTTGAAATCATCACTTGGTTCAGAGATTTGAAATCTTATACGTAATGGATTTTCTTTCTCTTTAGCGACTTCATTGAATGGTGAGAATACAATGAATTGACAGTCATGTGTTCCATCTTCATTTTCATTAAATTCATAATGAAAGTCTATAAGTTGTGGCCGACTACCTTCTTCTTCAGTTGTGCAAGAAACTCACGTAAAGGCTGTAAAGTTTGTACTTCAATGTTGAACTTTTTCTCGAACATCTCATTAAATGAAATCATACATTGCAACAATGTTGTATCGTCTTTAAAGTATTTGTATATGTGAATGTTTTGGGCGCTTAAAGACTGTTCGTCATTTTCTATCTCGACTTGAAGTATAAAGTCAACCTTTCTGAAAGCACGTGTTATATACATAGATGTTATGCCAATGTACTTCTCTTCATTTATGTTCACAATCCAGTCTGTTGGAAACTTAAACGTTACTCTGTTCCCCTTTATTTTGACGTCAGGGTTTTCACTACTGAACGCAACAGTTAAAGGTATTTGTCTATACATTTAATTCGGATAAAAATAAACCATTTACTCTTTCTTTGCTTCAGCTTCTTTAGCTTTTGCTTCAGCTTCTTCTCTAGCTTTTTCGCCAGTAGTCTTGGGTTCTTTTGTCTTCCAGCAGCTAATGCAGCAAGTTGTTTTTCACTAAGTTTTCTCTTTGGTCTCTCTGGCTTTTGTTCTTGTTTTTGTTCCTTCAGTTCGGATAAAATTTGCTCGCGAATTTCTTTTTCAATGCTTCAAAATCTATGACCCTTGGGTCTTGTCCGTAGGGCTTGTCTGAGTCATTTGACTGCAGATAAAAAAACAAAATTAAAACTTTAACGATGTAAAATGAGCTTGTCAAAATCAGAGCGAGAGTCTATTATATTAAATGACGCAAGAGGAATACAACATCCTTTCTATTATGTAAGTCAGAGTAAAGATGGTAAAATATACGTAAGAAAAAGAAAGGTTCCATTAGCGAATGCAGAAAGCGACAACATTAAGGTGCATGGCACCGAGGGTGAAGCCCATATAAAACCTTCTGTTCAAACTGAGCCACCAAAAGAACCAGAAGAAAAGAAGCCAGATGTTCTTTCAATAACGAACCAAGAGCTTATTGCAAAGTTCGTGAATTTCATTGAAAAACAAACCGAGTCAAAGAACCCTGACCCACCAGTGAAAGAAGTTGAGACAAAAGAGAATGTACAGTTCATTGAAAATGTCAAGAAACAACTTCCACCACGAATGCCAAGAAGAAGAGTGAGAATAATGAAGTAAATAGATATTTTTATCCGAATCAAAGACATGCAGAACGAACAGTTAAACGAATTTACTCCAGCAGAGCATATTCATCAGATTCGCTCATATTTCGATATCATAGACAATGCAGTTCAAATTGGTGACACTAATAGAAAATATTCTGACGCAAAGATTCCATCACAACCTGGAACTGCTAAAGATAACACATGGGTAACATTCAATCTCTCACCTCCTGGTGAAAATATGTTGGACCTTTACAATACATTCATTACGTATAAAATGGAAGGTCAATTTATTGTAGATAAAGAAATTGGTTCAGGTTCCAATAAAACAAACCCACCAGGATTTTGGATTGGTTTCGATGACGCTTTCTATGCAGTTGCTGGATATCAAATCCTTGCAAATGGTCGTATCGTATATTCTCAAGACAACGCAAGAGAAGAAGCATATATAACTTCAAACTCACAAACTACCGAACAAATAAAGAAAGTAGATGTTTGCTCAAAGACTCGACATGAAGATGTATGGAGTCATTCGGGAACATGCAGAACAGGACAAATTGTTAGTGGTCCAATTACAGCAGGAAAATCATTTGATTTTAAGCTTCGTTTAAGAATTCCTGTTAGAAGATTCCTTCCATTAGAAGCTATAAGATTTATTCCTGCATTTGCTGGTAACATTCAGCTTAAAGTAAAGTTCAGTAGCGACGCCTTGCAATGCACATCTATATCTGTAAATGATATCATTGCTTTCAATCCAACTCTTAAAGTTGCATTTGCTTCAGATTCAAATCCACCGACAAATAAATTTGTTCCATGGAATGAACCATTCACTATGATAACGAAGGCAGTAGAAGCTAGTGGAACAGTTACTATTACAACTGTAACCCAGCAACTATTTCGAATAAAGATGGATTTTAATGAATGTTTCATTCATCCAAAGTCATTCTCTTTAGACCCTAACATTTATACAGAACTTGTAGAACATTATACAAACGAGGCTTTATGTTTTCCTGTTAAAGTTATGGATTGGATTCCTATGGACGGTTCATTCTCAAAGAATACAGATAGTTCAAGTGCAACATTTACAGCAGCTTATACGCCTATTAATGTTAAAAGTATTTGGGCACTATTTAGAAAGAAAGACAACTATTATGTTAATTTTGAGGACCCTAAGTTTAAATATCTTCAGCTTTCCATGGGAGCTTATGGAAATATGCCTGCAGAACCTGAAAAATCATATGGACCTGTATTTTATGAAATGGTTGCGAACGCCTGCAATACAAACAATGATATGATAGGATTTAATGAAGATGTTATGAGGTCATTGGTGGATGATGGTAGTGTGGAACATAAATGGGATAGCTATGACAACACACATTTTTATGTGGTTTTCCAACAGAAGTGGACTTTTGCTTCCAGCAAGGTCAAACATCTACTGCTCCAATAACATACAAATTGTCTGTTTAAAGGACCTATTGAACTAGCAACTGAAAACGTACCAAAGCCACTTATTGGATTTATGAGGATTGTTGCTTTGCCATACAAGTAAGACAGTCAGGCATACCAATAATAAGATTAGATGACTATAACTTAGCAGCTGACGACAGTGAGGAATAAAGGATGAACGTTTATTTTTAAAGCTTATAAATGAGTTCTTCATCAAGCTCTCGTGAACCTTCACCATCTATGAAACAAACTTTACCAAACGATTATGGAGCACCTATTGAATATTTCTTACGAGCTGCACAATGGCAAAGAGCAGTCTCACCAAGGTTAGGTGTTCCACCAGCTCCTGTCAAAAATAGCATTTGGTCAAGTCCTTATATAAGATATGGTCTCCCACTAGGTTTGCTAGCTACAGCAGGAGCAGTAATGATGTTGAAAAGAAATAAAGCAAATGTTGTAAATAATACTGAAGTAGCTGAAGTTAAACAAACTCCGACACCTTCGCCAAAACCAACGCCAAAACCAATGCCTTCACAAACAACACCTTCAAAGACTCCTGAACCTATGGAAGTACAAACTCCTGTTCAAAAGTCAACTCCTAAACCGACTCCAACATTTAAACCAGAACCTACTCCTCAAATAAATCGTAAAACTCCTGCGTTTCCTTACTGAAAAAATAACGTTATTTTTATTTAATATTAAATTTTTTATTTGATTGAAATGACGACTAAAGTCACTGAAGCAATGAAACAAAAGTTTTTGGTAGAATACATTAAATCAGGAACTATTCCAGAAGGTTTTTACATTCATACTATGAAGGATGGTAGAGTTCAGTTTAGAAAGATAAAGCAACCATTAGATAAAGAAGGAATTTTGAGAAAGATTAAACTTCATGAGGACAACATTGCTGAACTTAAGAAGAAGTTAGAAGAGTTGGAGAAAGGAAGAGAGTTATAAAGCAATGAATTCAACAGGGTGAAAAACAGGTGAAAAAAGATGTGAGATCTCACCACTTCACCTAAATTTATTTTTTGTGCTATGTTTTCATACGTGTGAGGGTGGTGATATCATTTATTTTTAAGTTTATTTTTTATTTTACTGAAAATTTTTATTTGGATGTAAATGACAGAACAAAAGCAACTCATTCGAATTCCACAGTATAACAAACATACATTTAAACATTTATTCTTCCTTCCTGAGCATAACATGTTCTTTCAAATACATCCGAGACCAGTTGACTTTTCATTGACTGTGTATAAAGATAGAAATAGTTATATCATTAAACCATACGATGACGAAGGTAAGTTATGTAAATTGTACGTTAAGAAGTTAGAGAAAGTTTATGGCTTCAAGTATGACTACAATAGGGTTAACACTGATGATGAAGATATTGAGGAAAATTTATGAGAACATTAGTGAAGTCGTTAGTGAGAACGATAGTGAGAACGTTTATTTTTTACATTAGTGAGTTCGTTAGTGAAGTGGTTGGCGGCTTTGTAAAGTGTCAAATTCACAAGTATTGGATAAGGTGGAACGCAGTGCCGCCGTACCCAAGACTTGTATACTAACTTTTATTCTCAATTTGTTTTGAATATATTCAATTTTTAATGCATAATTTTTAAAAATTCTCTAATATACCTTAGATATAGATACATTTATTATCAATTCAAAAATTTCAATATAGTTTTGGGATGGGTAGCCCATCCCATATATTCAAATTTTCAATGATTTTGGGTTGGGATTCCCAGACCAGAATAATTTCTAATTATAATTCGTAAAAATATATGTATATCTCATTATTACATCATTTAATATATTTTTAGTTAAATAGTCACTATTTTCACAATTTTTATTATTAATTACTGAACTAAACAGGTTTCAAATAGAAAGAGTATAAAAGATAAGTGTTTTTCTACATGTGTTTCGATAAGAATTATAATAATTGATGGTTTTTACAGCCAAATTTATTTTATTATTTAAATTTCAATGAAAAAAGATAAGAATTTTTTAATAAAAATTTTTTATTAAGAATTTTTTTTGTAAAATTGACACTGGGATGATGATAGGGCTGGGATCTTATCCACCCCGTTCATTTGGGAAAATTGCAGATCTATAATCAATAAATCTCCAAGAAAAGTCTTGATAACAAGCTACAAATAATGGGAATTCACCAAACTTATTTGTTTGATTCAGATCTGGTTTCGGATTTGATTCATTATAAAAATGAATAAATGCAGTGTAATATCTGTTCCTGATTGCACAAAGAATATCTGAATCTCCATATTTATCTTTATCTTTCAGTTTATCTTGTAAAATTACGATTGGTGGCTCAAATGGAAATGGTGGAATACCAAAGTATTTTAACAAATATGGATATTTGTTTTTGTTGCAAATTAATTTCACAGTGTACAAATCATTTCCTTTGTCCTTTGCCATTCTTTTTAATAGATCTGGTTTTTTGTTATAAAAATGTTTCAGAAAATGTTCATTTTTGTATTCAGCTGCAATATAGAATGCTGAATGACCTGAATGGTTTGCATGCAAAATGTCGCATTTTTCATCCAAGAGATCTAGAATTTCATCCGATACGGCAGAATACTTAGCTGCCAATAGAAAAGCTGTGTTACCTTCAATATCTTCATGTTCAAGATCAGCGCCCAGTTTAATTAATAATTTGACGATTTCTGATTGTCCACTACAAACTGCATATTGAAAAGGAGACATACCCAAAATATCTTGGGAATTAACATTTGCACCAAATTTTGCCAACATTTCAACAAATTCAACATTTTTCATATCAATTGCTTTTTGGAAGCAATTGTAATAGTTATAATCTTTGAGAATTTTTCCCAATTCATTTGCAACATCAATATGCTTGGAGAAGAAATGATGATCCATTAAATCACAAGAATTATTATTCAGATGAGGTTTGTATTTGATTAAAGCATTAAAATGTTGAATCGATTTTACCAATTTCAATGGAAAATCTCCTTTGCTATTGACATGATTGACATCAGCATCTTTCTTGAGTAGTAGATCGATAATATCTGTATTTGTATCAGATCCATATTTAATGGCTAAAATGAGAGGAGTGTCTCCATTTGGCATCTGATAATTGACATCGGAACCGATTTCTATTAAATATTTAGCAATTTCAACTTTATTATTAATGCATGATTTGCATAATAATGTTAAGTTTTCATTTGTTTGAATATCAATTATTAATCTTACATTATTGGATTCTTTACAGAGGCATTCAACAAATTTTTTGATCATTTCTATTGGAGACTTAGATTCAAAAATGTAATGAATTGGAGCATTTCCAAATTTATCTAGAACACCAAATTGTGATTTGTTTTCAAGTAATAATTTAACAATTTCTGGTGTTCCAAATTTAACAGCAAAATGGAGAGAAATTTCTCCATTTTTATTTTCTTTACTAATTTGGCATCTTTTGTCGATAAGAGCTTTAATAACTTCAGTATTTGAATGTTTGCAAGCAATGTGAATTGGAAGATCGCCTTTTGAATTCTCTGAATTCTTATAATTCATCTTCTTTTTAATAAGATAATTCATGATTCCAACATCAGGATTTTTTGCGGCATAATGATCAAGTGTTGATTGGTTTACTTCATTGTTAATCTTGATATCTAAACCTTTCTCAATCAAGAAATCAAAGAACTGCTTGTTTCTCCTAGAAACGATTTTGAAAACAGGTATTTGTGTTTTTTCTTTATCATCTGTGTATTTTTGCATGAAATTTATTCCTCTCTCAATGAGGAGCTTGAAAATTTCAAAGTCTTCACAAATCTCAAGTGGATGACATTTTGATGATTCGCAAGCCTTATTAGGATCATAATTTGTATCAAGAATATCACGAACCTTTAAAATATCCTTGTTTTTTATTGCTCTCATAAATTCATCCTCTGTAAAAGTCTCCTTTGTATTGATAGGAGATGATTTGATTGTTGTGTTAAGCATTTCCTTAAACTTGTCATTTTCTTTTGCGTAATCGATGAACGATTTTCCAAATTTGTTTTGCAATTTTGGATTTGCACCAAGTTCAATTAACTGTTTTGCAATATCGAAATTCAAATTTTTGGCTGCAATGATTAATGTAAGGTTTCAGCATCGGATATATTTCAAAAATCATATCAACAATCGATTTCTTCCCTCCAATGATAGCGCATTGAACCAAATTAAGAATTAAATTAAACATATCAGATCCAACACTCATTTTACTTTTTTGTTTTTCACTTAAATGTTCATAAAGTGGATTATTAACAATAGCTTTGAAAATTTTCTCTTTACCATAGTATGCTGCATAGAAAACAATATGTTCCAGAACTAATGGAGTGATTTTCTTAAGTTTTTCAAATATTTTCTGTTAAAATTATCAATTTCATATAAGGAGTAATTTCTTTCTCTGTTGCTTGTTTGCACAACATCATGAATCTGTCAACAAATTTAATAGGTCTCTTGCAATATTTCCTAAATTCTTCTTCAATTCCTTCCTTTGTGGTCGATTGAAATCGCAAATTAGAATTAATAAATGATGGTAATAGTTTGTTTTTCTGATAGAGCTTGTATGCCAATGTATATAGTAATTTCTCTTTCTTATTATTTAGTCCAATAGTAATTAGCATGTTGAACATTGATTCCAGATTGAAATGTGATTTTGAACCCTGTAAAAGCAATGCTATTATAAAATCTGCATCATACACATCGCCATTTAAAAATTTATCAACTAGAACAATAGCATTTTTAAGCCGTAATGTAATGACAAAGCTCTTTTTTTTTACTAAATATTGAAATAATTGAGAGGGTCATTGAATTTATAAGACGGAATTTTTTGGAACTCAGTTTTTATGGAGTCCTGAATAAGAATGAATAGCTCTTCCTATTTTCTTGATTGAAGATATTGTTTATATGATATTATTTTGTTTGCTATTTGAAATTAATAGCAAAATATTGATTTTGGTTTAGTTTCATTTGCCGTATAAAATTTCACCTCAAAATGAAATTATTATAGGTGCTTGGTTATCACTTCAGATATTAAAATTATAATTTAATAATATTGGAAAGCATTTAAGAAATGTGTCGGTATCGAATGGGGCCATTATAAAAGCCGCACTTTAAAGAATACTTAACATTTACAAAATTAATTGCGTATTATGAGAGTTGATGATCTACACTTTCGTATTTTCTATCATTTTAAACAATATTATCAATATTATCATCAAAATGGCGATCACAATTAATCTCAATATCGAAATCTTCCACTTTTGGAACTTGTTTTAGATTAAGCTCATTCAATGTATTCCAAAGGATCAGTAAGATATGTACATTTGTGATCAATTTTAAAAAGATTCAAGTACTTTTTGAGATTCGAGGCAAAAAGATATGGAAATTAAGTATTCAATTTGATATGCAATATATTTTCAGTGTTCACTATGTTAAATATTGCTTTTTATGATTGACCACTCAAATCTAGATAACGTACAAAATCATCCTTCACAAATTGAATTAACCAGCCACATAACCTATTTGCTCTGCACTGAGGAATGAATTTATTTTTACGAGTCAAATGATTTTTATTGATTTTTTTCTAAAAGTGACAGCTAGAGTAATTTTGAGAATGCGCAAAAAATTAATAAATTAATGATATAATTATGCAAAAAGGTAAATAGAACGCGTATTACTTTTGAATATTCTCATAAAAATCAAAAAGTGACATATATTTTTATTCAATCAAAAAATGCTGAAATATCAATTGCTATCCATGATTAATTATTCAAAATATATCGAAAGTGACGCGTGATTTCATCATCCATATAAAAAGAGAGTTAAGAAAAATGCTTATCATTGTTATCTATACATAAAATAGAAATAATCAAAAATGAACTAATTTACTTCCTAGAAATGTTTTCAAAGGTTTACAAAATTTTCTCAGAAATTATGAAAATAGACATATTCAAAACTCTATCGTATTATAAGATCATATTCCATACAATGCAAGTCTTACGGTCGAAATTAGATGACCAAAGACTTAATGAAGCAGTATATGGTGCTAACAACAGTATTAAATCTCGATTAGATGCGGAAAAATTCCTTTTGCAAGATGATACTTTTTGGAAGTTCACTGACAGATTCATTTCCTGGATGGTCTGTCTTAATATACTTCCATCTGATAGTTTCAAATGGGGAAATCACTTACTTCAACTCATATCAAAGTATGAATCTTATGTCAATTCAGAGTTATTCGAAAATCCTGATGCGCCTCTATTAGCTCTCCCTGGTAAAGCAGAGGCTCAAATTCATACTGATTTAACTCGAACCGTGAAATTCTTCTCCGATTTAGCTAATTCAAGTCAACTTCCATCGGACAAGCAAAACTACACATTATTCAGGGCTTCTAGAATATTAACTATAATGACTTTAACAGAACCATCATTCCAGTATATCCAGGGCTGTGAAAGATATGTTTATATTTGTTATTTGATCTCACTTTTATTTACCACTCAAAACCAGCTTCCTGATATTTTTGCTGAAGCAACGGCATACTATCTGGCCGTTAAAATGATCGAAATGTCTGGTATTGCAAAGCTACTTTCAAGTTCAAAATTTTTAGAAGAACATTTCAAACTTCTTGATGCAAAATTTGCGCAAATTAACTCTGAACTCATGGAACATCTTACATTTGCAAACCAATCTTCAATTAATTTCGCTCTTCGCTGGCAAATTCTATTTTTTGCAGAAGAGCATGATTACTCAGGAATTGTTTCTATCTGGGATCGAATAATATCCCACAGACAATCAGTTAATCAATACATTGAAGCTCTTTGCCTAGCGCATTTCAATCAATTGCCAGATCTACAGCTCAAGCAAGTCCAACACTATAGGAACTGGAATGTTAAGCAGATTCTTGAAGATGCTGAGAAGTTCATCAATCCTGAAGTTAATTATGGATGGGGTACTGCATTTATGGTTTGTCTTACCGTTGGAGTGCTCTCATTGATGAGAATTATGAACCATTAAGAATATTAGTTATATGTATTCTTATAATTTCTATCTTTTTGTTTAGTATAAATTATTTCTATCTATCATAACTTTTTAAAATGTTTATCATATGAAACAAATGCTAACATCCATTATGACTCTATCTCATTCACCGATTCGAGAATAAAAGCCAATTCAAATTTTATAGAAATTCAATTAAAAAAAACTAATGCTTTGTCACTTATGTGTTAACAACTGAAGAATAGCAATGCAACATGTCTTATGTCTAAAAGTTAATATAGTTTTTTCAAAATCGTGTCTACTCCCACCAATAACTCATTTCTCATGCGAAGGGTAGTTTACTGGAAATGAATGGTTCTGGCACTATGAAAGAATTCCAATTAAATGAATTCTTTGATGTTGAAAAAAAATTGAATTCTCTTCAATCGATAAATTTCAAATCTGTAAGATTTGATAAGAGTGAAATGTAGTGATTCGAATTAAAACCGCTATATATTCCTCCAAAATTCATTCAATAAATTGCAAAGAGCGAAAAAATAAAAGAGAACTTAAAAGGTATAAGGCAAAAGCATGACTCGATAGCACTTAAAAGAATTTTGAATAAAATATAATTTCTTTAAAAATCAAAGAAATAAAGTTAAACATATGGATCAACACGAAATTTAGAACATAATTTTATAGGATAAGGGTAAGCATTGAAAACAAATTAAAATTAAAATACATTTTTAACAATGCCAATATGGAATTTTTTTAAGGTATAGCTTGTACATTGCAGAAACTGTCAAAAAGCCAAATGATTATTACCTCGTAATCGTTGATGATAGGGATCAAATTGAAAATGAATTGATCCAAGAAAAATTGCCAAAAAAATTGATGATTTGTTTCAGCATAATTGAAAAAAATTATATCAATTGACTATATAGATACTGTATTATTTTCTTTAAAAAAATTGAAAGGACGTTAGAAATCAATTGATGAAAATCATTATATATAAATAACTGGTGAGTATAATATTAGCAATCAATTCCTTAATTTAAAAACGTATTGCATGAAATGAATTATGATGAAGATTTCTCGATGTTTTACTTTGTAAAGTGGATTATGTTGTAATAATGAGTTTTCATATCATAACTTATTCACAATTCAAATTGTGATCCTTTACAAATTTGAGATTGAGTTATTGCTTGGCATAGTTTACTAGTTCAATAATCGGTGAAAAAAAAATCTATGGGAGTAAGATAGGCAAACCCAAATTTTAGCTAAAAGTGACAGGGGAAAAAAACGTTTAGTATTAAAAAAAAAGACCGATGAAAGCTTCGTTCGAAATATAGAGGGAACTGAGAATGCGCAACCATTCTCAGGGAATATTGGATGCTATTCCCGTTCCCTCTGTATGGAAAATTGAGGTTTTCAAAGGGAGTTAAAATAATATCAAATTTATACTAATTTACTTCAAAATACAAAAGTATTTGACAGCTAAAATTAGTTACTTTAGCAAGCCTATCAATACCCTTTTACGATTATTGCTACTTTTTCGAAATAAAAGTAAAAACAAATTTATACTAATTTACTTCAAAATACAAAAGTATTTGACAGCTAAAATTAGTTACTTTAGCAAGCCTATCAATACCCTTTTACGATTATTGCTACTTTTTCGAAATAAAAGTAAAAACAAATTTATACTAATTTACTTCAAAATACAAAAGTATTTGACAGCTAAAATTAGTTACTTTAGCAAGCCTATCAATACCCTTTTACGATTATTGCTACTTTTTCGAAATAAAATAAATTTATTATCAAAAACCTTTTTTTTCTTAGTAAAAATAAACGAAATTTTTTACCTTATGAACTTTTGATGGAAATATGCAAATTTAAAATAATAAAGAAAGCCGCGAGCGAATCGATCGGCTTAGGTCTAAGATTTTGATTCAAATCTTTACTTATATTCCTTAAATTCTTTATGAAACTCGCAACAGTTCCATAAAAAATTTTAAATTCTAAACTGTCGAAATTACCGATCGGTAATCACACCCTTCATGGGTGTGTCACTTTTAGCTAAAATTACCCCTACTCGAGTCAGATATTTGAAAAAGTTCTTTCAAAATTTTTTTTCTTTTGAGCGGATTTCAAAGAGTAAAAAATATAGATAAATCAGCAATGCATCCATATTCAAAGGCAATGAATGATTTGTCAAATGATGATAGAAATCCATTGGTTACGGAAATCGAAATCAAGAATGGTTTTTGTTCAAAAGTCCGAAGTTATTCAAATATCTATAAAACATTGTTGCAAGCTTTCATATTAGTCTGTGTTCATACGCTTACTGGCATATCATTAATCCTCACGAACGCAAAGAGACCAGCATTACCGTTACTTCCTGATACAATTCAAAATATTATACCATATATGCCATTTGAAAAATACGTCAATGTCTTGATGGTTATTCTCATTGGATCTGAAACAATCATTATTGCATTTGACCCAAGAAGATGTTTCATTTATAGAAGAACTTTGGCTGTATATTCAATATTATCATTCTTAAGAATATTAACAACCACATCAACATTCTTGCCTGATCCATCACCAAATTGCCCTGCAATTCATGATACTACTGTCGAAATTTCCGTTTCAAATATTATGAAATCTCTTTTTGGCGGTTTAACATGCGGTGATATGATTTTCTCTGGTCATACAATGGGGTTCTTATTCCCTGGCCTTGTTCAGCATCATTTCTTCAACAAAAAATTGGGAATAATTTATCTGATTCTTGGATATATTGGCTCTTTCTCGTTGATCATCACAAGATTTCATTATACCGTTGATGTTCTTCTCTCTATAATCCTCACAACAACGATCTGGTTCACTTATCAGATGCTTTGTGAGCATCCTTGTCTTGCCAAGTCTCTTCCTACATGTTTATATAGATACTTTAACTTCATGGAGTGGTCAGAAATGGATGAAGACTTGAATTAATTATATTAGTTTTCTTTTTCATTTTTCTTTCTGAAATTCCTTGTTTTTACATTAATAAAGTCATAAAACTATCTTCTATTCTTATAAAATGCATGTTTTTCTTCTGGACCATTTGAATGTTTGATGATTCGAATGGAATTGTTGAAAATTGATTGCAATCTCCTTGGAAATCATGTACGCTGAAGCACCCGGACTTGTAACTTAGTGTAAAGAAGTACCTGGCAAATGGAAGCAAGAAAACAATAGCTTCTTTTGATAAAAAGTGTTTCAAACGACAATTTTTTTTCGGAGGAAAAATTAAAAACTATTCAAAAAAAGATTTAACAATACGTGTACATTTTAATAATGCAACTATTAGTCAAAATGATAACGATTAATTTTTCAGAAATTTTGTGTGGTTCACAAATTGAGGGAATTTCTGAACGGATTTGAGTGAATTGCGATCAGTATATGACTCAATTTTGCAATGAGATTATTCGTTTGGAACCATGAATAAATAACTGGCAGAATTAATTTAAAGAAAAATTATGCGGGAAAATGATTCGGATTTGTTGTTTGTTGGCTCTGGGACATTGATTTTTATAAGCTATAGCCAATAAAGAAGAACATTATTGAATCATATTAATAGATTCGAAGAATGAAAAAATAATTGGAAAATTACCGAAATAAAATCGGCACAGATGATTATTATTGGGGAAAACATATGTGTGATTATACGGTAAGTAGTATATCTGTATGCTTCATCCAATTTCTCATTTAATAGTCTGATTTGATTTTCTATTTGGTGGATTTAATCTATAATCAGTAATATGCTGCATCAGAACTTCTTTGATCTCTTTTCGAGCTTTTCTTGCAACTTTTTGATCAACATCCAGTGGATCATCACCATTCGAGATATATTCAGAAAATTTGATCAAAAAAACGCCACAGTCATTCGAATTTTCCTGTCCTGATACTATTGGTTTGTTAAATTTCCATTCTTTATCAGAATTTTTAGTTAGAAAATTTTTGAGTTTTTTTGCAGCTGAAGGTGTTGGTCTGTTAAGTGAATCGTATAATGTGATTGTGTTATCATCCCATGCAACATCGAAAAGAATCCAATGGCTATTTGTTCTGTATGGAATCAAAAATTGAGTAAATTTTCCTTCCAATAGTGGTTTGATACCTTCCCACTGCCTCATTTTTTCATGATTTTCGACATCTAAGTATTGGCCGAAGTATGTATTTGTAGCTCCAATGTCAAAAGGAGATTTATTCACTACAATTTTCAAATAAGCATCAATAACAATATCTGAGATCCATTCATGTTTTTCTAGACAAAATAAATCTGTATACTTGAGTTGAATTTGTTTTAAACTTTGTTGAACTTGATTTGAATTTTCATTTTGTTGTAAATTTGAGGGTTTGTCGCTTTTTACTGCCTTATTTGGTTTGAAGAAATCTTCTATACAGTGATTTTCTCCTAGTATTACTGGAAGTAATGGAGAAATTTTGGTCATATGCCGAGAGAAAACAATTTAAAAGGAATTTAAAAAATTGATTCCAAATATGATATTGTACAAAGTTATGTGTATTTGTAGATTATTGGCTCTTCTGGCAGGCTAATTGCTCAAAACAATTTTATATAATCCGAAAAATGAATATGCTATGATATGAAATTTATTTGATTTCACTTATTGGATATTGATATGACCTTCATTTAAGAAAATCTTTTTAGAATAGAAATCGAATTATACAAATTCCACCTTTTTTTATAATAAATATGATAGCTATTGAGTATTTTGATATTGTTGATTAAATAATCTTTTAAAGTTGAATTTTAAAATCATATTTTTTATCCTTCATTCCATGATTATTTCATGCAATATCAATATAAACACAAACAGTTAGATGCTTAGGATTTCTGTATCGAGTGTACAATTATATAAATTTGATAATCATTCACTATAGAAGAAGATAGCATACGAGATGAAGTCAGAAACAACAAAAATCTGTCTATATAAAAAGAAAAAATAAACAGAGAATCTTCGAACACGGGAAAACAAGAAGATATATTCCTTTTATGAGTTTAATTCTAGCTAACATAAGTATAGAGTTGTATATTGAGCACATATTTTGAATTTTGCTACTGAGTTGAACAGCTATGAAAAGGAAATGATTTTTAATGTAAAAAAGCCAAGTAAACCAAATATAGGAAGTACTATTTATTTAATCATATATCTCTAACTCAAATACCAATCGAATAAAAAGTTTTTATGATGTTTTGCCAGTGTATTTTCATTTAGTGATATCAATATTTTTACTAATCTTTTTGATTTTCGAATCATTTTACCGGTTGTACTGAATCTCAATTGAAATATCATTTTACTTCGGTTGATGAATTTGATAACACGGCCTAAATACTATTATTTTAGTCTTTGTTCACTTCATGAATTTTTATGAAACCCACAATTAGCGGAAAAGACTTTTTATAAACATCGATTTCTTTTGCAAAATGTTACTCGAGAAATCATTTAGTATCATATTCTTGATTGAGTTTGAATAACTTTTTCAGACAACAGGCCTGATTTTATCGAATGATGTGAGAAAAACGATATAATATTGGTTACCAACTATAGCATCAAGTAAAAAAAATAATTTATTGAAAATATGAAAGAGGAAAATACCGATAATTGAAGTCATAGATAAAAGATTAGAGTGTACATATGAAATTAAAGAGTATGTCATAATAATTATCATCTTTAAAATGACTATTGAGTCTACGATTCTTTTATGAGCACATTCAAATAGCGGAAAATTTGAATACTCTCCGTTTCAATTGAATAGGATTATCAAACGATTCTCTTTGTCTCAATTTACTTCATTATTTATTAAGAAGCACAGTATGACTGTCAAGTCGCATCCAAAGTCCAAATTTACTCCAGAAGAAGATATTAAGCTTAACCGAATTGTTCAATCCATGAAAACAATTGATTGGAACTCTGTCTCCAACAAAATGGGAAATAGAAACCCAAGGCAATGTAAAGATCGATGGACAAAATATTTGTGTCCGAATATCAATATGAAGAAGTTTACATTGCAAGAAGACATCGATCTTTTAGAATTGTATGATCAATTTGGGCCAAAATGGGTTTTAATATCAAAATGTTTTAACAATAGAAGTGATGTTGCTATCAAATCGCGTTTCATGGTCCTGAAGAGAAGAGGAATGGATCTGAAATACTTAAAAGAAATTAGAAATAATAAGAGAAAGCCGTCGGACATACTTGTTAAAGGACGAAAAACTAAGATTATTGATCCAAGGGCAATCTTAAATGAGAGTGTCGAACTTCCTCCTCCATCGGATTTTGAAAATCTTTTTGATTGTGATGATTTGTTTGATTTTGAATTCAATACATTTGAATAAATTACCTATTATTGGTATAAAAATGTGTAATGTTTAGTGAAATCAAAACTAATAGGACAGAAAAATTAAATTAATTTTCTTCAAATATATGAAAAATTGCCAAAGAAAGCTTTGTATCGAATGATTCACAAGATAGTATGGATATCTCCCTCGTTTTTAACAATTTTGAAATATAAATTTGTTCGTAAAAATTGATGAAAAATCTATTCATACGAAAATGGAATATAAATGAATGCATATGCATAACTGTACAGAGTTTATGGAGTATATGTATGGATATTTAGCTAAAATATTGAAACCAAACGAGAGGTTATCGATTTTGTAATTTAATCGTCGTCGTTATCGATTTTGTAATTTAATCGTTATCGTCTTTTTCTAAACGTGCATTTTTACATTAAAAGCAATGCAACTCCAAAATTAATTGGTATTTAGACTTTAATTAGGTGCAGACAAACGAAATGCAGTCCAAATATTTTGGTGATATATGAATTACATAAATTTAGGGAAATTGAAATTATATCTTTTTAAATTTTTAGGAAAACAGATTTATAGAATTGTTTAAGTCATCAAAATAATGCAGACTTAGGTCAAATTTTCCAAATTTAATCATTTGCAAGACTTTCAAGCGACTTCAAAATGTCGAAATATAAGTCCAAAAATAAAATTACGATTACAGTCTATCCTCAATTATTATCACGCTAATTATTGAGTGACCCATGCGTTCGTATGTATGTAATACCTTTTAAAAAGGAGATGAGAGAGATAAACTACATTTACAATTTAAATCTGATGTATTTACTTGTTACATTTACAAATGTAAATGTTTCTCGTAATGTTTACATTTTGTAAGTATAACGAATAAAAATGACGCACTTTTTTACAAAGTCAAATTATGCGATACAACTTTACTTGTTACATTTACAAATGTAAATGTTTCTCGTAATGTTTACATTTTGTAAGTATAACGAATAAAAATGACGCACTTTTTTTACAAAGTCAAATTATGCGATACAACTTTACTTGTTACATTTACAAATGTAAATGTTTCTCGTAATGTTTACATTTTGTAAGTATAACGAATAAAAATGACGCACTTTTTTTACAAAGTCAAATTATTGTTCGATTTTTGCAGCTTGTAAACGATTAATTGTATAAAGCAATTGATATTAGCACGATATAACTGAATAATTCTAATATTGAAATCAAAAGCCCTTAAAATATCATGATATTTTAATTTCATAACAAATCTAGGAGACTATTTGATGAAAACATATCCGATGTGGGTTTTTTGTATTATATAACTTGTTATTGACTTCTTAGCTTTCCAAATTTTTTTCGATAATGAGAAAACGAATGAAAAATCAACATTTGGTCCATTTAAAATTTGATTTGTTTACATTTTTTTACTTTTTGAATTTCAATTTATATTTTCCTCAAGAAATACTTTAGATTTTAAGAAACTAAATCATATAATCTACTAAGAAAATATATTAAATCCTATAATACTCAAAGTTTTGTGATAAATCAGATCTTTTTTATTTTACTTTTATTATGTTTTTGCAAACTTAAGGTCCTCACTAGGTAAAACATAATACTCTTTGAAGTTAAGTATTTTCACAAAGAGAGGACCAACAATATCAAAAGATTGAATAAAGATTTGTATTATTTTATTTATTTTTAAGAACATGTTTAAGAACCCTCATTATCTCCACGAATATTGCATATTTTTCTATTCTAAGACCACCAAAATTACGTTTTAATATAGAAAATAACATATTTATGTGATGCTAAAGTCGAAGTCCTTAAAAAATTAGTGTTAAACATCCTATTGTTAAATAAATTTTTTAAAAACCTTAATAGGATAAAAAAAAAGAATTTACACTCTCTCACTTTGAAAACGTAGAAAATGCCAATCTATTGGTATACATTTTAGTTTTGTTAAGTTTACAAAACGATTACTCTAGATTTTAAAGATTTATCAAGAATTTAGAGAATATCCTTCTCAAAACAACTTCAATAGCGAAGGATTAGTATTAAATCGGATTTGTAACATAATTATAGTACATTACAATACAATTTCTCCGACTTTTAAATATTTTTGAAATATTTACAAAATATGCTCTTTCTATCATCGATACTTTAATACAGAGCAAATTTAGTAAATGTCATCACGTTATTTTTTCATAAATCGTTTTCGAACTTTTGAAATATTTATTTTAAACCAGTTTTCTACATTTAATATGTGAATTATATCAAAAGTAGATGGGCGATACTTGTAAATCTATTTAAACTATTAGTTTGCTATTATTGAAGAACTTTATAATTTTTTTTTCTTATGTATGGAATTAAAGATAATTTTGCCGATTCCAACTGGTTTTTCTATATGAGTTAAATATGCCAAGTGAAATCGGACTTGCCAATATTGTAAATTGAAGTATGGACTATATATCGATTTTCATTGATTGATGAATAACTCGGAGTAATGTAATTGTTGATAATGAAAAATAGTTTTCAATTGCTGGTAAGGGCCAATGTATGTTCAATAGCTCCGAAAGCAAAAAATGCACGTTTAGAAAAAGACGATAACGATTAAATTACAAAATCGATAACGACGACGATTAAATTACAAAATCAATAATGACCCAAACCAAACTCTAATTTCATGAAATAATATTTAAATTAGAATAATTTTGCACTCTCAAACAATTGAACATGTATGTTAAAATATTTCTTTCAAAACTTCGATGAAATTGAATTTCGGAGTAATTTTCTTTTCAAATTTTATAAAATGCGATCAAATATTTTTATAATCATCTTTAATTATTTGCAGTAAACTCCAATATTGAAATGTCTTTATATGATCAAAATGTATTTAAGCGAAAATTGTGATAGTCTTCAATTGTATTTTCTCAGAAAATAATCAATTTTCTTTTCAATTTAATCAGATTGAATTTATTTAGATAATAATACAATATATAATATTTGCATATGTTCGATAATAATATCCGATTGAATTGTGAAAAAATTTAAAAATTGAAAAAGAATGGATTATCTCAAGGTGCAAAAACCATATTCAGTAGTTTTATATATCACTATTAGAAAAAATATAAGTTAATTAGAAGCTATGATAGCTAATCAAAGCCTTTAATGTAAATGTTTCATGAAACCAGTACAAAATTACACTGCAAGGCATAATTAATGCATAATCAGAGATATTAGATATTGTCTCCGATTTTGTACTACGAAATATCATTGAATATCCATAAATTGTATATAAATTTTATTTTTCATCCATGAATCAAAAAATATTAATTCAATATCGTCCAGGATATCTCTTGTATCATATCATCCCATCCATGATTACGAATCATCGTAATTTAACATTTTCAAGTAAAATTCTCAAAAATTAATAATTTTAAATCGAATTAAACAGATCCAATTATACAAGTATAATCAATAATGTATTAGGTCCATGATATTATGCATTTGAACGCAAAATCATATTTTTATTACTTTTTTAATTTTTCACAAAAAATGAATGATTTTTTCTGAATGTCTTTATATTCACATCATCGGTACTATTCCTCATTTATTTTTAATATTCATTATTCACAGTTTTGAATTCTTTTTGGGAAAAACTGTCTTTACTGATCAGTGATTCTTTAATGTGTTGAATATGAGTACATCAGCACGAATCTATATATATTTGAGTGGCGCAGAATTATGAATATTGAACGAGATTAAAAACTTTTAATCTGCTCTGAACTTGCAGGTTAATTCTTTTGTTTTATTTACATTTTTGTGTGGCAGTTATTTTGAGAATGTGTCAAATTGAGGAAAGAAAGTTATGGGTATGGCCAAACATGTCAATTAGCTGTATTATATGTTACATGATCTTTTATATCAATTAATATTGTAATTGTTAGAGCTTTATTCAAAAAGTGGGATATAAATAACATATTACAGGAGATGTATAAGCTCTGTTTTCTTAATGTATTCTTGTTGAACAGATATCCTTTGTTAACTAATTTAACATCTATTCAAAAATTTTTAAAATTATTTTATCTAAACATCTATGAGTAAATTTGACCAATTCCCTGCATCACAGAACTATAGCTAACCTTCTTAAATGGTTGGGTTATCTCTCAATTAGCGGGAGGTTTATACAATCAAAATTCAGTACACCTTATCAAATCAATGAAAAGGAGTATTTTGTCATTCTGTATCAATGCAAATCAAAGAATTGAAGCTCCACTCAAGAACCAAGTTCACAAAGGAAGATGATGATAAGCTCATTATCATAGTGGCTAATTGTGGTTCTAGTGATTGGTCAAAAGTTTCTTCATTGATGGGAAACAAAAATCCCAGGCAATGTCAAGATAGATGGAACAAGTATTTATGTCCAAGTGTCAATAAAAGTCCATTTTCAATTCAAGAGGACCATCTCATCCTTGAACTTTACAACATGTATGGTCCAAAATGGGTTCAGATTGCGAAATTTTTTAATAATAGAAGTGATGTCAGTATCAAATCCAGATTCAGAGTTCTCAAAAGACGAAATGTAAGTGTCGAACTCTTGAAAAATATCCCAAAAATTATGAAGACCAAGAATAAAGTTCAAGAAATAGATTCATTTTTGCTTAACAAGAAGGAGAAAAAAGAAAAGTTTGAAGAAATTCATCAAGAGCCATTTTTAGAAGAAAACATTTTTGAGTTTTGCGAAGAAGAAATCTTAGATAATTTCATGTATGAGTCATTGTATTTATCATGTCGATGAAATTTTTTATCTCTTTTTTCTGGAAAACGTTTAGTTCAAAAAAATTGAGTGCTAATTCAAAAAATTCGAATATGTTAAAAATGCTTATGATCGGGCTTGCTCGCTCTTAGCTTTAACAAAAATGTTTATATTCTATGGTATATTAGCATATCTTAAATAAGATTCGCTTTTTTCGCTTCTGAAAGTTTCACGATGATTTTCAATATTTTGGGAATTTACAATCAGTAAAAAGTTAACCAAACGCTTAAAAAGGTAACATTTGCCAGTACTTATACCCGATACATGTTCGATAATTTGCTTGAAATATTTACAAAATTGAGAAAGTATAGAAATAAATCGTAATTGAATTCAATTTTTCAATTGAGGATCGCCAGAGAAATTCATTAACGAATAAATTGACAGGAAATACGATTGCAAAAAAACAACTTATAAATCCATAGTTTCATTTCTGGATAGACAATTTTTAGAAATTATAAGATTTTCGTGAAAAATATAATTTTGATTCATAAAATTATAGCTTTTGCCTGTTTCAAAGATATAATAATAAATTAAATACAATTTAAGATAAAAACAAGTTTATTTCATTGAAATTGATTCCATTTATTATGAAATGAGAGAATTATTACAAATGATAAATAAATTGTTGCATCTTTCGGAATCATACATTTGTATCTTCTATTATTTATGATGCCCATATAAATAATATGCATGAATTAAGTACATGAATAAAATATCGTTTGTAATAATCTTAATAAATTATAGTACTGATTGGGTTTTTAATTTAATTACAATGCATGTTAATAATTTAGTATTAAACTGATTTGATACAATAAATTTTTTGTTATGAAATTTATTAGGAAAAAATTAGAATGTTAATTATCCCCTCCATCATCTAGTGAATACCTAATATTATTTTGATAATCGTCATCCTGATTAGATTGAACTTGATTTGAAAATATTGATATATCATTCAGAGTTGATGTTAAAAGATCATAGAAAGATATTAGGAAAACTATATGATCTAATTCTCTTGTTATATTTTCAAAAAATCTGCTTTCCATTCCATTCATCGAAATATATGATAACTCTTGTTTGCTGCAATAATCATGCATCAGTTTCGTGAACTTAATATGTTGGCTTCGAGCTAATTGTGCATTTTCAATAGAAATATTTTGATTCAAAATTTTTATTGAATCTTCAAGTTTTTGAAATGCATCTACTGTATCTTGATCTAAATCATCATAATATTTAAAACAATTTGAAGAATAATGTTCGAAATTAAAGTTAATTGATCGAAGATATTGATTAAGGTCAATATTTGAAATTAATTTGTATATTTCTTCTGACTTAGTCCTAATTTGAAATAATTTTTGTATTGCGCGCTTGAAATCCAATAGAAATATATCATTTAGATCAAATATCAATGGTTCAAATGTTTTATCACTGATAACTTGTTTAACAAGATTGTTTGTAGTATTGTCATTAAAATAAGATGCTATGACTTTAATCCTTTCGCTTAACTTTTTGAATAAGATCACATTATGTTTCATCTTTTAAAAAAATGTTAATACAGAAAGTCAAAACAGACTATCTATTAGACATTGTTATGAGATTCATGATTGAACAAATGAAAAAAAGAATGAATGAAAATTTATAAATTTTGATATAAAAAGAGGTCTGATTGGCGATGGAATCCTAATTAGTGTAACTAAAGATAAGCATTCGCTTTTCTATTAAAAATAGATTCTATATCTACTTTAATTATCGATACTCGGGTATTTTCTGAGAACTATTCTAACAGAAAAGTTATAAAAATGTCATTTCTTTAAAATCATGGCATAATTCTAATAATTAGAAAAAAATAATTATCGAAATTCAAGTTTTACAACACTAAATTAATTAGATTTTTATGTTTTATGGTATATTAATTAATATATATGAAGAAAAAAAAATAGTTTATAAAATTAGCAAATGACAATTTATTGCTCAATAGAATACATCCAAGTGATCTCTTCGAAGTGTCCCTCATACTGGATCCACTTTGAAGACGTTGACTTTATCTGATCAGCGATTTTATCAGCGAGTTCTGGTTTTATTGCTCTAATTCTCTCCAAATTATCTCTCAACACGATAAGTGTCCTCTTCTTCTCTTCGAGGGCATCTGCGTATTCCTGAGGCAAAGTTGGAGAAATCGCGATTGTTTGTCTGTCCCAGTAGAACGGAACTTGGAACAGGTTGAACTGCTGTGGAGGCATGAACATGGCGGATGCCTGGCCCAAGCTTCCAATGACCATTGGCTCTTTCCAGCGATTATTATTTGGATTGATGCCGGCACAGAGGAGATCAGCTGGAAGCTTGCTGTATAGAGCGTTGTAAGGTGCGAGAAGTATCTTGGTGCAGTTTCCTGTAATAAGCGGGCGATTATTTGTAAGAATATAAACAGAACATCTTGTGCAAGCATCAAGATGGATAAATCTTGTGGATGCGACAACTGTAACATTAGCGCAATATTCCATGCGGATAGCGCTGCTTGCTGCGCCAATAAATACGATTGAATCTTTGCAATGTGAAATAAAAACGGAGGACATGACTCCGCAGAAGTAAATTCGAAGGTGTTTGCAATTGTGAATATGGGCAGATGGGCATGTCAATGGTGTTTCGATCTTTTGGGCATCATTTACGTCGATTATCAAAATTGGCTTATCGATCTGTCCGCGCTGTCTCGGAGACTGGCTACCGAAGTCGCGCATAAACAAAGCCGGGCGGTAATTGACGGGTGATGTTGGGGCTGCTTCTAATTTATTTGCGAATAATTCATTATCCTTTGGCGCGAGGAGGCTTGTAATATGGAAAGCAAGCTTGTTTGGTGTAAGGCCTTCCATTCCTGGAAGCTTGGAAAGAGAGCGAGCAGCAGTTGTATAAGTTGGTCCGCCATTGATAAGGAACGAAAGAGCGTCGAGCTCAGCGCTTGTAACACCGTTAGGGCAGAGGATATTGAGGAATTGTGGAAGCTTTGTGTTGAAAAAGTGGAGCATTAAAGAAAATTGGGAATTATCTGATTTGTTAGTTTGAATTGCAAGGCGTGCGCCAACTGTTGGTGTTGAGGATGAGAAAACTCTTTGGCGTGGTGAAAGGCGCTCTGGTTCTTTCTTTGATGGGAATTGTTCGAGAGATGAGACTTCTGATAAGTTACGATATTTCTTTTTAATGAATATGAGGAATAAATAACAAAGTACATCTAATACTTTAAGAACAGGTGGGACGTTCTCAAATTCCGTGATCGTACTTCTATAAAGAATTATATGGGGGTCGTGAATTAAAAATGCTTCGAGAGATTGATAGATAAATGCTTGCTGATCAGGGTTTAATTTGAATAAATTTGATGTTGACTCTTTCCACTCCTTAAATGTGATCTCCTTTCTGAGATCTTCGAAAAGAGATGCAAAAGAAGCAATTTTTTCTAAGGAGATTTCGGCAGTAAACAAAGGTGAAACTGCAGCAATTTCAAATGCCTCCCAGTTTAACCAGAGTTTATAAGATGTATCAGTCATTAGAAAGTAACTTTACAAAAACCGCACTCTGTATTGATGAAAGGAATTATTACACCTGATATGCATAATCGTTCCAGTTAATGGATAATGATATTAAATGTCTGCTAAAGCCATTCCAATTTATCAAAAATTAATGGAAGCTTATCGAGTCCATATCATTTCGTGAAAAATGTACTTATCAGGGAGCAACACATCAACAAACGCTGATTTTAAAGATTCCTGATGCTTTATTTGCCTTCAGAAATCCTAAATTTAGAATTTGAAATCATATCAGCAAAAGTAATTAAATCTGAAACTACTAATAGCTTTCTATATTAGTAGAAAATCCAAAATTATAGCATTAAAAAGTAAAATTACTAAATACAAAACCATTATTCAATATATCGTACATTAAACAGCTTTCCTGCACAAGAAGATAGAGTCTTTCTCAGATAATTATAAGGATATTATTAGTAATCCAATATAATTTAACAAATTACTTTAAAAAAAATAATCAAATTAGATAAGTGCAGATTCGAACAATTTATTGTGTATCGAAGAGCTTTGTGGAAAGATACTTTTCACCGCGGTCAGCGAAGAGAACAACAATAACACCGCTCTCAAGCTTCTCAGCGACCTTCTGAGCAGCGAGCATAGCAGCACCAGAAGACATACCGATGAAGATACCTTCCTTGGCGATAACTTCACGAGCCTTAGCGAAAGCCTCTTCTGATTCGATAAGGATGTGCTCATCGATCTTATCAGCCTGGTAAATAGCTGGGACGATGGCCTCTTCCATGGACTTGAGACCCTGGATGTAGTGGCCCTTTGTTGGCTGAGCTTCGACGATCTTGATGTCTGCGTTCTTCTCACGAAGGTTCTTACCAACACCCATAAGTGTGCCGGATGTGCCGACAGCAGCAACGAAGTGTGTAACCTTGCCCTTAGTCTGAGTCCAGATTTCTTCTGCTGTTGTCTTGTAATGAGCGATCTTGTTGTACTCGTTTGAGAACTGGTTAGGGTTGAAGTACTTTCCTGGGTTCTCCTTGACAAGTTCAGCGACCTTTCTGATGGCGCCATCTGTGCCGAGCTTACGATCTGTAAGGATAACTTCACCACCGAAAGCCTTGATCATCTTTTGGCGTTCGATGGAAACAGCTTCACTCATAACAACGATGACATGATAGCCCTTTGTACGGCCGATCATAGCAAGGCCGATACCTGTGTTACCAGATGTAGCTTCGATGATTGTGCTGCCTGGCTTAAGCTTGCCTTCTGTTTCAGCCTGCTCGATCATCTTGAGAGCGATACGATCCTTAACGGAACCTGTTGGGTTGAAACCTTCAAGCTTTGCCCAAATTTCGACCTTTGGGTTTGGATTTAAATGGTTGATGCGGACCAATGGAGTGTTACCAATTGTTTCGAGGATGTTGTTGCAGATCATTCTATTAGAGATCGCTAAAATAAAGTGAACTGTTCTATAAACGGTCTGACATTGATCGATTTTTTGATGGTTGTAAACCTTTCAAGCATTCAAATTTTTCAGAGCAAATTTGTTTGGAAATTGAATATAAATTGGCCGTTTTCCGAAAAATTATCTTATTTTATGTTAATTTGAAACTTGGCTTGATAAAAAATGGTATGGATATGGTTTCCAGCAAAATGGTCTCAGTAATTTTTTTATGGGATGATTTTATTGCATAGAAAAATATTAATAAAATAAAGGCATGATCGGAATGCGGCAATGCATTAATTGAATAAAGATAACCTTAGTGATCAATGACAAAAGTTGTTATCTATTTGTTCACTTCACAATGATTCTAATGTTGAGTAAGATCGGTGAAAAAACCGGCCATAATTTTATTCATGTTATTTGTGCAGGTATGATATGTAATGTTATACATATTCAACTCTGAAATAATGAGATTTTGATTCAAAATGATTTTATTTTCCAATTTAATGGCATTCTAGCAAAGAAATATTATTCAATATTGTAATTACATAAATTTATCAAGGAATTATTACCCAAAAAAAGATTGTATTGTGAAATATTTTATTCAGTCGAAACTTTGAAACAAAATAATTACTCAAAACAAATATTTGCATAGTTTGAAAAGAATTTGTTTACTACTTAGTTCGTTTTCAAGCGTAATAAGTAATGGTATTCTTTCCCGAGAAACGGACACACTGAGTACATCATTGAACCAAAGAATGCTTTAGCATCGTTTAAATAATACCATTTATTATCTACCTTGATATAGCAAGTATCATGTCCATCTAATGCAAACAATCCTTCATGATACATTGCAGCAATAAGTTCGTATTCGCAGTTTTGATCGTTATTCTTAATGTATTTTGACAAGTCAAGTTGATCTATTGGAAAATCTAAAACAATGCACTTTTTCTGATGATCAACATCTAATTTCATATTGATGATGAGATATTTTGGTGGGAAAACTATCTTTGAATTCTGAAAATTAAAGTCAAAAATATGATAAATTGGAATGGTATCTCCTTGATTAACTTCTGGAGGAAGGTATAAATCTAAAATTCCATTGGTCTTGGAATTTTCTGGATTATTGATGTCTAAAATATCAAATTTTGTAAGATTAAGCGGACAGTCAGGATACTTCATCATGATTGTTGAATAAATGTATTTAACATACTCTTGTGAATCCTGGGGATCTGGATTATTAAATTTTGGTTCTAAATAATTAATAGCTGTTCTTAAAGAAGCTAAACTGATTGCAGGCTCTTGAGGAAATGCGAGTTGTGAAAAGAACTTGTGCAGCTCAAGTCCAATAGGTTCATTTGAGGATGAAAACTTCTCATCCAAAAAATAATCTGCCAATTCTTGGATCATGCTATACATATGGAATGTTGCATTCATATAGCATGTGTTTCCAAGGTTTTTAAACCCGACAACATATGGAGGTCTATCACTCATAAAAAATGAACGCCTTTGAAATTATAAATAGTAATTGTGTAATAAACAGAAATTCATCAAAAGTGACAGCTCTCAATTTTTTGACATTTGTAAATTCTAAATTGAATGAGAAAAATGAAATAATACTAAGCATAATACAATATTCTAGATTTAATTATAATTAGGAAAAAGTTAGTTTTGAGAGTACTTTTCATAGGCATATAGAATGAAATCTTCTGAAAAATAATATCACATAAACTCATATTATTTTCTAATATATAACTATTTTATATAAAAATCAAATTCAATGATGTTAAAAGCGAAGGATAAACCTCAAAATTTACGAATATAATGAGTGGGAATATAATGCTTATCTATCATAAAACCATATGAAATATCAATTTTTGCTTTACGCCTAATTTTTGACGACAATTAGCAAAAAATGTTAAATGTTAACACTCAGTCCATTTGAATATGAAAAATAAAATTGACTTTGATTAAATGTTTTTATTTATCATGCAATTCTTCTTGCGACCAAAGATTTGAATAAAAGTTCAAAAAATAAGATAGCTTAAAAAATAATATACGGTAGTGTTTACTAATAGATGAATAGTATATAAATTCTATTAAAATGGATTTGATCCAAAAAAATATAAAACCAAAAATAATTGTTATAATTTAAATGAAGAAGTAATTTAAAACGATTTTATTTATGATCAAATTTTATATATTTTTTTTGGATCAAATCCATTTTAATAGAATTTATATACTATTCATCTATTAGTAAACACTACCGTATATTATTTTTTAAGTTATCTTATTTTTGAACTTTTATTCAAATCTTTGGTCGCAAGAAGAATTGCATGATAAATAAAAACATTTAATCAAAGTCAATTTTATTTTTCATATTCAAATGGACTGAGTGTTAACATTTAACATTTTTTGCTAATTGTCGTCAAAAATTAGGCGTAAAGCAAAAATTGATATTTCATATGGTTTATGATAGATAAGCATTATATTCCACTCATTATATTCGTAAATTTTGAGGTTTATCCTTCGCTTTTAACATCATTGAATTTGATTTTTATATAAAATAGTTATATATTAGAAAATAATATGAGTTTATGTGATATTATTTTTCAGAAGATTTCATTCTATATGCCTATGAAAAGTACTCTCAAAACTAACTTTTTCCTAATTATAATTAAATCTAGAATATTGTATTATGCTTAGTATTATTTCATTTTTCTCATTCAATTTAGAATTTACAAATGTCAAAAAATTGAGAGCTGTCACTTTTGATGAATTTCTGTTTATTACAATATTATTTTTCAGAAGATTTTGTGTTCTTCTTCAAAATTTTACTTTTTTATTAAAAAGAATCTTTACAAAATATACATTTACTTTAATTAATATTTAAAAACGTGCTCTATCAAAAGTTCCAAAAATTCAATATTTTAGCTTTTCTGAGGTGTCACTTTTGATGAATTTCTGTTTTCAACAATTGTAGTTAAATTTTGATACGACAATTCTTCGGTATTACAAAATACGAAAGGATCCGTGAAAATGACTAGAAAATCTCTTGAATCAGAAGAGAATGTAAAAAAATCTTTCTTGTGGCAATTTTTCATACTGTAAATAGATTATAAAATTTGTTTATTTTCGAATAAAAGCAAAAACAAAACAAAATTAACTAAACAATTTGATATAGCATAAATAGGCTTATCCAACAAGACCCAAATTAAGAGGATCTATTCTCAAATTCTCTGATTCTGAATCTGCTATCATTAAATTGATCAATCCGTCGATAAAATCTTGTGTCAACGAAAGTATTAAATATAAAGGCTCTCTGAATAAAATTATGGCCTGTATTGAAAATTTAGACTTATTTAATAGTGAGTTTGTAGCACCCAACGCCAATGAAGAAAGAGTAGCGATAGCTGTAAAAATGTAACCAAGAACTACTTGTCTGTGCTTCTGTCCAGACATATCATTCTTATCTATTTCAATTAAATAGATAAAAATAGGAATAAAGACTAAAGCTAATTCGGAAATTCCGAAAAGTGCATCGTATGACATAGAGAATATTGATACTACATAGTCTTCATCATATGAATCTGATACTAATATTGCTGCTTGGAATATCCATAAAGATAAGATTAATGGAGATGTGATGTTGAAAAAGTAATTGTAAATAAATGAGTTTTCACGATTGATAAAGATTGCAAAATCTTGTATAGATCGTATAAGAAATTGATAAGCGATATCTCCGACACAATAAGAAATATGTGCGGCAATATAGGCTTCATTAATATAATTTGGTGATAAAATAGTAAGAACTAGTAACGCAATTGTTCTGAGAAGTGTTATTAATCTGAAAATGAATCTACTGGGATAATCTTTGATAGATTTCTTTGTTTTAGGTAAGAAAAGTACAATAAGGCGCCATAGGAGGTATATTAATACGATCCCAAATGCGGAATAAATCAAATATGTGAGTGTATCTGTGGTGGTTGCTATTTTTGGAATTGAAAAAAAATTGAAAATTGACAGATTCTGAAAATTGACATCATAAAAGTGATAAAAATTTATGAGTAAAGTTAAAGAGAAACCGATTGTTTCGCAACAGAAAATATATATCTTTTCAGATAGAAAGATAGCTGCCAAAGTAAAGAATAAATTAGAATGCGATTCCCAAAATTTTATAATAATAACTATTGAAAGAACTACAATGACTATTGGAGCTGAAATGAATGTCGTAATAGATCCTGATCAGTGTAATATCTCGTTTAAAAAAAGCAAAGAAAATGCATTATACTTAGTAAAGCAATTACCAGATAAAAGTACAACAAAAGAAGAAATTCTTGCGATCTCCCCCGTTCTGTGGATCAGTGATCAATGCAATATGAAAGAATTCATTCAAAATTCAGAAAAAATTACTTCATTCGCCTTTAATCAAAGCGATTTCAATATGCTTATGAATTTTTCGCACAAAGAATTTATTGGTAATACATTTTATGATAGTTACAATAATTTTTATAATTCTCTTACAAAGAAAACATATTATCACTCACTAATCAAGCTAGCTCTCGGTTTAATTCCCAATGGTAAGTTCCCATCGCCACATCATGCTGCAGAAATGTGCTCTCTTTTTATAGATATTCTCTTTTCTTGTCCAAAAAATTTGAAAGACCAGCAAGAACAAGTTCAATCGATTTTTGAAATACTCAAAGATATTCTGCATAAGTCTAAATTGGATATCATCATTCCACCATTAACTTACTTGAAAATTGAGAAAATTAAAATTGATAAAAAAGAAAAAGAAGATTTATATCAGCACTTCAATTATGATTTGGATTTTAGTGAATATTCCCAAGAATTATTGGAGCATATTCTGTCATTTTGTCCAAGACATATTATTATTAGGACATATCATCCATATTATCATAAATTGTTTTGCACACTCCTCAAAATAGCTTCAAAAGAACGAGCTGTGCCCTCAGATAATGACAAATCATCAATCAGAGAAATGATAAAATTACATCGAACCAATATTACGTTTTTAACTAGCTTTATTGACTTTGCAAGACCCCTTCTTAGTCAAATTGATATGAACATTGATAGTAACATAATTCCTGCTGAAATTGACTCAGAACCTAACCTGAGAACATCAATAGTCAATTATATCAATAATGTTAGTCCTCCTATTAAGAAAGTTAACTGTCCAAACAATGCTGTTATCGATCAATTTTTGAATTTGCAATTTCCAAAAATTGAGCCATTAGACGATGAATTGGCTTTCTTGGATTAAGATTAGCATTTCTTTGTTTCGATTATTTAATTTTTGTATAATTTAAATTGTATTTGTATTATTATTTTTTATTTTCTCTGAAATTGTTAAATTCGTGCACAAATTTGGGTGTTATTTTAAGATACATTGTTAATGATCAATAGAATATTTTGAGATTCAAGGTTGAGAGGTCAAGATTTGATATCTACATGAAATAAATAGGAAATTTCTATAAATTAAACAGAAAACAAACATACTTGAACTCATAAGAAAAGTCACCTCTGTAATTTTGAATAAATCATCATTTATTTTGAAAAGATTCACCCAAAATTGTAAACAATTGACTTTTCAAAATTTATTATTGATATAATTGTTCTGCTATAAAATCTTTACTTAAGTCTATTAAGAAAACAAATAAATTGATGTCTCGAATGGAACGTTGGCGTGAGATCATCAAAAAAATTATCATTTTATGCTCTTCATATAATAATTTATTATTATATGAATTGATTCCGGTAAATTAAAAATTGAATTTGAATAACCGTAAATCACTCAGAATATTTTTTGAACTAAATTTTGCGGTTATAAATTTTTTGTTTCTACTCATAAATCTTGCTTGAAATGCTATTGGAAATATGCCTTCATCAATAAATCTTAATGCTCAGAAATGATGACCTAATGACCTCTCAAACTTCGATAGCGGGCTCACTCAAATTTTGAGAGTTCGATAGGTCATCATTTTTCATCTAGATGTCTAGCAATTACGAGTACATGCCTCTTATGAATGGCAACCGTGCATACATTCGCGTTGATGGTGCTGATACAGGCAGCTACAAGACAAATGGTAAGACAACACTTGTTGCAAGAGTTGGTCCAAGAAATAACTTCATGAACCACGCAGCCGAGTTCTCAGAAAAGGGATTCCCAACACAGACATGGGAATTCAAGTACAACGATCCATCAAGATCTTCATTCGTCGTTGTTCTCTTCAAGAAGCACATTTTCGGTGGCGACGAAGAGATCGGTGAAGTTGAGCTTCGCCTTTCAGCATTCGAACCAAATACAGTTGTTTCTCAAGAATTCACACTCTTGAGCCCACGCAACCAGTCAGTTCCAGCTCATGTCAAGCTTTCAGTCCATCTTTCAGAAGATGGCAGCTGCCCATTCTGCGCTCCATTTGGAGGAAAGCTTATGGCTAATGCTGAAATCCCACACAAGAAGACATACTTCCATTAAATTGGATTCAGATCTACATATATAATAGAGATTCGTACAATACATATACGAAATTTATATTATTTTGTTTTATATTATATTAAATCCTTTCTATCCCTTCTATCCTTAATTTAAAACATTTTTTCACAAACTAAAATAAAACGGGAAGCCAATAGATTATATTGCTTGATTTCCCGATTGATATTATTATTCTCTTTTACATGATCTGTTCTCATGAACAATAAATCTGAACGAAAATCGTTAAGTGAAGATTCACTCATTTGGATATTTCAGTATTACTATTTTTTGTAGATTTACTTGTGGTGTTGCACTCCTTGAATAATAATAGATATTGTAACAAATTATTTTCATTTTCGTGAATTTATATAATATTTGTTCTTTGCATTTGCTCTCTAATAAAATTTAGATAATAATTGATATTCAAACTCCTCGATGAAAATGATGCATCAAAAAAAATTTTTTTTCTAAATTTTTATGAAGAATCAAAATAAAGGATCCAGAGCAAATACTACTTCTCAAAAAAGGATCCCTATTAAGGAAAAGCCTGGCTACTATACAGTAAATAGTACTACCGAAAAAGGAAAGGTAAACATTATTTATGATCCTTCAAATATTATCAAAGATTTTCCTGAAACGTGTGGCTAATGGAAAGATGTTTTTGTTGGCTTTAATGAAGATTTCTATGAAGAAGAAGACCTTGAATTTGATGATAGTAGCGAATTTTCAATACATCCCGTTACAAAGAAAAACGTTCCAGCAATTGGCACGCCAGAATACTATTCATTACTAAGATTGAAAGAAAACGAATCAAACAATCAAATATCCGAGCTTTTATTCCAAATGTTATCGACTTATTCTACAGATTACGCCGAAAGCTTCAAAGAAAACAGAAGATATATGGGATATGCACCAGAAGGTGAGGAAGAAGATGATCAACCTTCATCAAGAAAAGGAAGCGAATTCCGTTCCCAACTTGATGCCGAATTCCAGAAAGCTCTTCTACATCAAGCTCAAATGAACATTACTATGGGTAACCGTCCATCTATCGATGATATAAGGATTGATGATATAGTTCAAGCAAATCAGGTTATGAAAAACGTTTCACAGCAGAAAGTTGAAAAACCACCTGCTAAAGTTGAAAAGCCACCAGCTACTAAACAAGCAGCTCCTGCCGCTAAACCTCCAGCTGCTAAGCCTCCTGTTATGAAATCAGAGGCAGGCACAAATACAGAAGGAAGACTTCCTCCTATTTCGAAAGAGGACCTAGTATTTAGGGAAAATAAACCTGCTTTACCAAAGAAACAAGAAAATGCAAATCCTCCTCAAAATAAACAAGAACCAGCTCCTGCTCCTGTAAAGAAGCAAGATACTACTCCTGCTCCTCAAAATAAACAAGAGACTGTTCAATCTCCTGTTAAGAAACAAGAATCTACAACAACAACTCCAAAAACTCAAGGAAATATAACTACTACTACTACAAAATCGCAAGGAAATATAGCGACTACAGCAAAAACTCAAGAAAATAAGACTACTACAAAGATAAATAAAGAAAAAATTTTGGTTGAAGATGATGATACAAGACTTCGTAACTTTATTGAAATTATGGGTTTAAATGCGGATGATGTGAACAAGACATCATAGAAATGAATAAAGTTTTAAGTATTTAAATATTTATAAAATTTCATCAATCTTTTCTAAAAATTTCAATTGAAAAATTCATGTTGTTGCCTTGCTGATTCTGATTTTAGATTACTCAACTTGATCTTCTCATGAATGATTCATATCTCATTATTCTTATTGGAAAATATAACTAATTAGTAAGCGATTCGTTAGTTCATACTTAATTGATTAAATTGATCTGTGATTATATATTGAATACATAGTTTTGAACAAAAATATTAGCAAATATCTTTCAATTTGGTAAAAAATGACAAAATATGATTCTTCATACATATGTAATGAAAGTCACCGCTTATTCAATCATTAAACAATGACTTTGAAATTCCAAAAAAAATTCAAAATTTCAAAAATAAAGCAAACTTTCTCATTTTTTATCTTGAAAAATCAATTTTCGAAATTTTTTTGGAAACCAAAAATCACTAATATTCAATTGTGAGATATTTTCTTTCTTTTTTTGACATATTATATGATATATTTGAAATATAATTTTTATCATATCAATTCTTTCCTTCAACAAGGTATAGACTTAAATATTTGCCATTGGTTATTACATAATTACTTTTATTTACTTTTTTGTTATAAATAATTTTATTATTTTTCTTATTTTCAACATGAATATCATTCATTTAAAATAAATGAGGCTTATTATGCAATTTCTTTTATTATGAGAAAACAAATTCAGTTTCATTAAGAACTAAATTTAATGAATTTAAAAATAAGTTTTTTTTCATGAATTATTTGTCATGAAAATGACTTACCGTATTCATTCCTCAGGTGTAGCGAGGATCTTAAGCTCGTTAAGGATTTCTTCTTCCTGTTGTTTGATCTTCTTAGCTGTAGCCTCATCAACTGGGAGTCCTTCGACGACGTGTATGTTTCCTTCCTTGTCGACAGTGCATGGGAAGGAGAAGAAGATTCCTGGCTTGACACCATAAGGAGATGATTCTGGAACAGGGACTGACATCGAAACGAAGTTGTCCGCTGGAGTTCCGTATAACCAGTCGCGCATACATTGAATTGCTGCCGTTGCAGCTGATGCGGCGCTTGAAGCTCCACGCATCATTGTAACCTTATTTCCACGTTGGGCGAGATCGGAGCTAAATTCTGTATTTACGTATTCTTCGGAGACCTTCTCGAGGATATGATGTCTGCCTGTTTCGTCTTGGTATTCTGCATTTGAGACATCTGGGATTTGGCTTGAAGATCTGTTACCCCAGATGACGACCTTGTAAACTTTGCTATGATGGACACCTAATTTTTGAGCAATTGAATAGACTGCTCTGTTATGATCCAATCTGGTCATAGCGCAAAAGTTCTTTGGGCTAAGATTGACTGCTGCTGTCATAGCAACAAGTGCGTTTGTATTTGTTGGCATACCAATGACTAAAACTTTGACAGTTGGCTTTGCAAAATCAGAAAGAGCTCTACCGTGTTCTGAATAAATCGATGCATTTCTCTGGAAATAATCAACAAGCTTTGTAGATGGTTTCTTCGGAAATGAACCGACAAGGAAAGCAACATCAACATCTCTGAAAGCTTCTTCAAGGTCGCTTGTTCCAATTACATGAAGAAGATGTGGGAATGTGCAATCATGAAGCTCCATAACAACTGCTTCAAGAGCTTTCATTGCTGGGCTGATTTCAAGAAGATGAAGAACAACATCTCTCTCTCCAAAGAGATCGCCATTAGCAATACGGAAAGCAAGGACGTAACCTATCTGGCCAGCGGCACCTGTAACAAGAACATGAAGAGGCTGTGTCATTTATCGGATTTTTTTTTTGTTGAATGGATTTGACTTGAGCAGAAAACGATCAAAAAGTTTCATTTCCTATCAAAATATTACAGAAATACAATAATTTTAATAAGGATACATTGACACTAAATATTTCCAATTATTTCGAACATTTGTCATAAAAAATCAATTTGGCATGAAGAATTTTATTCCTCAAAAGCTCATTACTCATCAATATGCTACCTTGGAACCATTTAAATGAGGAAAACCATTCCTTTTCTGATATATAAGTAAATTTCATCTTCAATTTGTAATCAGCTAAATAAAGATGATTATAATTGAAAGCATCTTTTAGAATATTACAACATTATGGCACAAATTGCAGAAATCATATGAGTTCGCATAGAAATCAAGTAATTCGCTAATATGAGTTTCAATTTCAACCAATTGTAAAACATTACTACAGTTTTCCTACACGATTTGATTCAAAACAAGTAGTGCATGAAATATAACTATTATTTACGTAACAAAATAGAGAATAATATAAAGATTATTATTTTCATGATTTAACTCGTTTGAGATATTGTTCTTCACAACGAGTATTGAGAGGAACTCTCATAATTACACTGAGAACATTGCGACAATCTGCAATCCATTCTTCATCAATGATTCCATCTCTGAAACGAGGAATATCTTGAGGAAGGGCAGTTCTTACCTTTAATGTTCCAAAAGGACGGCCAAATAAGTATATAATTTGTAAATATGGACCAATTAAAGTGAGATTTAGGTATTCACCGATAGATTCATGTTTAAAACCTATAATATGAACTCTACAATCATGAATTTCTTGTCCAATTCCAAATTTTTTGAATCTCAGAACAGAAAGTCCATTAGAAGTTGCGCATTCAGGGAAAATAACTAATGGACAATGAAACCTTTCTCTTGCAAGTTTCAGGGCATCTGTAAATTTCATTTTCTTGCCATACCTGCAGAAATTTCTTACTAATAATTGGTCAAGAAGCATAGGAAATATAGATTTAACAAGAACATTCTCTGCATCTATCGGAACACAGTAAATCGGAGAATAGTTACAGTCTAAAAATATCGTATTTAGAATAGAGCCAAGATTCGAAATTATTAAATCTCCTTGACGAGGATAAATATGTTCTGTAATGTCACGGTATTGATCAACTAAAGGTGTTGGCTGAATATCGACTGATGTTGTCCCAGTAAAAAATCTATAGACTTTAAAAAGTCCTTTTTTGATTAGTATTTGTAGGAATTGAGTTGCTCGTGTTGCATGTAGTAATGATAAAAGTATTTGTATACAAATAAATGGAGGATATAAAATAATTAAAATTGGAAGTTTTAAAATTACAATGATATGATATATTATCAGCAGAACATATGGCTTTTTGAATCTGTTTCGCGCAAATGGATCAATCCTATCGACTTCTTGATATCGATCTGATTGAACATACATTTTTTTTATTTTGGAAAAAAAATCACTTTCTATTCAAATATCTGAAGATCATATTCACATATGGGAACCAATTCAAGGAAGGAATTTCTCTTCATTTTTCAATTGTTGTAATATATAAAGTTAATTTATTGAATATGGATGTAGAAAAGATCCAAATTCAAGAACAAACCATATTCAATAATGAACAAAACAATCAATATCAAGATATGGACATCTTGAATTCTCAAATGGAACTGAATTCTAGAATGATTTTATCAACAAATACAGATGAAAAGATCCAAGGATATAGTTTCTTTAATTCATCAAAATTAGATCCAATATTTGATATCCAGCAAGTTGTAGACGATGATCAATCACATCCAAATTTAATAATAGCAACAAATGCATATATATACAACTTAAACCACAAAAGAAATGCATCAAATGAGACATTTTCACGAATATTACATGAAGAAACAGAAAATGAAATAACAATTTCTTTGAAAATCAATGCACTTTATGCAAAATCGATATTAATCAAAGAAACAAATGATTATATCCAAGGTGAACTCATTTTAATCGTTTCTCGCGCAGCAAAATTATTATCTTTATTTCTTGAAATTGAAACAGAACTAGAAAATGCTACAGATGTTATTGAAATGGCGTCAAATATAGAAATGATTTGCCTACATCTCATGGAGACTCCCAAAAAATTTCTTGAATATGGATTTCTTCAAATTTTTCTCTTGTCATTCGATAAATTTAGAGTCAACGCAAATGTGAAATTAATAGAATACTTGTGTCTCTCACAACCTCACTATATTTATGAAAATAATCCTACAATTATTGATTGGCTACTTCAATATGTTTTTGATGATAGCTTTAAAGATAAAATACTTATCTCACTTGCATCATTTGCAAATTTATCTCGAGATGTTGTTTTGATGCTACTTTCGAAGAATGATTTTGTAGATTTTATTGATTCGCAATTAGAAAGCTCACAAACCAAGACACGGAAGAGAATTGCGATTCTTCTATCCAGTTTTGCAAGATATGCAGAATTTGATGAAATATTTCAGTATTTAGAGTCAAGAAATTTCGGAAATCTTGTTTTAGACTTTTTAGATACCCCGAACTTGTATTTTCTAAGGATTCTTATTGAGGGAGTCCTGGAAATTCTTCTGAAAGGAAGAATGATCATATTTGATCAAGAAATTGATCTAATTGAAGAATTAAATGAATTGTATGAGGTAAATTTAGAAGAGAATTCGAACGAACGATCTAAATTGATATTTCTATCACGTTATAAAGATGTTCCATTATCTGATCTCATTCTTGATGTTATTACGTACTATGACAGAGAGGATGAATAATTCTCATATATTTAGTAAATGTTATGCTATCTGTAATATAAAAAAAAGATTTTTTTTCTCCAAAATCAACATCCATCAACGATTTATCGCGTAAATTATTCAATTCTCTCAATTTTTGATAGAGAGGCAACCAAGAATTCATATTCCCCAACAGAAGCTTTAAAAGATTTAATAGAATTTGAATCAGAATCAAGGGTTTTGACAACTTTTGAATTTCATTACAAAAAATTGAATTGTCTGATACGAATTCTATAATTCTGTCAATTCTAAGGGATATCAAGTAATACTAGAAAAACCATTAAATCCATCGATAGATGAGTAACAAACGCTGTTCAAAACCGTTTCTGATAGATAACTTTCAATAAATATAATGATTTTATTTTTGGTTTATTTTACACAATCTGCATTACTTCCCACGATTCTAAATGACAACTTTGACATTAGGTTATTAATGGAAGATGTGCCAGCCCCTGTTTTCAGCTCTCTTGAAACAACAGACAATGATGACTTTGAAAAGAACTATGATGTTGATGTAACAATTAGTAGTACTTATTCAAATACTGATATCCGTCGTACTTTTGAATACTATTACTCAACAATTCACATAACTAATACGAAAATAGAAAATAGTCAAGCATTTGGCTCAGATACAACTTCCGGATCTGGAGGAGCCATTTGCATGTCATCTTGTACAATGATTGCGTCTGCTTCAGAATTCAAATATTGCAAGGCAGTTTTTAGTGGAGCTTCATGCTCAATTTCTTCTGATATATGCCTTGATAGATGCAAATTTACTAGTAATACTGCATACCGATACGGAGGCGCCATCCATTATCAAGGTAGTATTGATTTGGGAAATTATGCTAATGGTAACACATTTTTATGCTATAGTAGTGAGTTTATTTCAAATGTTGGATCTGAACTTGGCGGTGGCCTATCTTTTGCTACCACTTCCAGTGTTTATTTGCAAGATTGTAAAATCCAACAAAATTCTGCAGCATTCTGTGGTGGTGGAATATATTCTTGCAATACAATCTATCTGAAACTCTTTAATACAAAAGTTTACTCGAATAGTCTTACATACGATTCATTAACTAAAATTGAAGGAAGTTCTTTCCGCCCAGTAAAGCAAGGAGGAAAGAAAATGTCTAATACTCCAACATTAGGTATCCGTGGTGGAGCTGGAATTTGTGTTATTACAGATTATGAAGTTAATTCGCGCAAATTAGTCTCTCAATTTTTCTCTCAGGGCAACTGTTATGGCGGAAATACCGCAGGAAGTAAAGCCTATTCAAAGGGACAAGGTGCCGGCCATGCAATTTTGATTGATGGAAATTGTCGACTCCAATCAATGAATGATAAATTCAGCTACACTGGCAAATTCGATAACGTTGTTTCTAAAACAGGAGAAGCATCAAGCTTTCCTTTTATCATGCAAACAGTTCAAAATCCTCCCAGTTGCAGTGATATGCCATCAGCAATTGCTGCAAGTGATCCCACAAAGACATCACTCGCACGATTAAGCAACAATGGAAATTATCAAATCACAAGTAATATTGTACCACCTTCAATATATACATATGTTGCAACTCCTATCTCCAAGTTACCAGCTACAACAAAAGTAACAAAAAAGTCGACAGCTGTTAAAAATCCTCCATGGATTAAACAATACAAAACATTATCTATGCTGCCAACTGCAATCAAAACACCATTCAAGACAGTATTTTCAACAGCTCATAAAACTCCATTCAAGACAGTATTTTCAACAGCTCATAAAACACCATTCAAAACTCCATTCAATACAGTATTTTCAACTGCACATAAAACACCATTCAAAACTGTATTTTCAACTGCTCATAAAACACCATTCAAAACTCCATTCAATACAGTATTCTCAACTGCACATAAAACTCCATTCAAAACTGTGTTCTCCACAGTTCATAAAACTCCATTTAAGACTGTATTTTCAACTGCTCATAAAACACCATTCAAAACTCCATTCAATACAGCATTTTCTACGGCTCATGATACTCCATTCAAGACCCCATTTTCAACAGCTCATAAAACACCATTTAAGACTGTATTCTCCACAGCTCATAAAACACCAATCGAAACTCCATTCAAGACAGCATTTTCTACGGCTCAAAAAACGCCATTTCAAACAGTATTTTCTTCTCCAGGTGTTTCTAAATACGCAACCCCATTTTCGACAAGACATTCAACACCAAATAGTACGCCTTTCTCAACTGCTCACTCCACAGTATTTTCAACACCCCATAATACGCCATTTGTGACATTTGCTCCCACAAGATCTGTTTTCCCCGGATGGTATGTTCCTCCAGAATCATTTGAAGGGCCAAGTACAAAGACATTAATTTCTACATGGTATGAAACCAATGTTGCAACAAAAATAGTTTTTGAAACAAATATAACAGATGAGGACGGAAAGTACTATGTAACATATACTGATCAAGAAACTGAAGTAATTTCAATTATCGCGATTCAAACAGAAGCATATATTTCTCTCCAAGTAAATTCTGGAGGTGAAAAACAAAAAGCAAAATTTGGATTACCAATGATCATTGGAATATCCGCTGGTGGGGCTATTCTTCTAATTCTCTTAGTTGCTCTAATTTTATTCTTTACATTAAAAGCAAGGAAAGAAGAATCTTTTGAATCAAGTTTGGAAATGGCTGAAGAGACAGCATATAATGTTCACTCTTCACAAATAACATCTGTTACGAATGACAATCCACTTTGGACTACCACTATTGAAGGTGATCGTGAGGATCCATTTAAAGATGACTTCAATGAAATAGTGAATGATAATTTCTTCACTATTAAAGAAACCGGCCTTGAATAACATTATTATCTCTTCTTGTTTGATCTATATAAACGTATGTATATCTAAGTTATGATGATTAAAAATTTACCACTTCATGTGATTCCCATGAGAAATTTAAAGCTTTCTTCAGCATTTAAATCATATGAATCAAAACTTTTTGTAAATTTTTATATGCCTATGATTATATATGAATAGCTTAATATGCATATTTCATATGAGCTAAAAAAGAAACTACGGACAACATAATGAACAAATAGTATCTCTTGTATTTTGATTTGATAAATATTACCATTTCATTTTTGTCTCAATTAAGTAAGGGTGTCGTTTTGTCTCCCCCAAGTTGGGACACTAGGGGACAAAAATTGAGGAGATTTGTTTGATGAAGTCGAGTTCCTTTAAATTAAGAATCAAAAATTATTTCCATTAAAATAGAACAATCAGTAATAAGATATAGATGCATATAATCAAAAAGAAATATAAATAACAAATGCAAAAGATCAGTAATAATATATAGGTGCAAATGGCCAATAACAGGATATAGGTGTATAAGATCAAATAGAAATATAAGAAACTATATACTCAGTGCAATGATCAAATAAATAATAAGATATATGTGCAAATGATATAAGTCAATCTAATCAAATGATAGTTTTACCATGTATAAAAAAATGTAGTAAAATATACAAACAATAAATATAAATTATTTATTCATCAAACATTTCTTTAATTACAGTAATTCTTCTCATTACATCATTTTGTATGAGAGCTTCTCCGGAGTCAACTTTTCCGCCAGAAAGGAGATTCTTTATTCTGGACAAAGAGTCAGGCGATGCATCCTTCAAGACACGCATTGCTTTGACTGAATCTGAACTTGTTATCTGTTTCAATGAGTTGGAAATCGAATTCTGGAGTGACAAAGGCCATTTATCTCCAATCAAATTCCTTAAAGATGCTGGAGTTTCAACCATTTCCTCAATTTCTTGTTTAATTTCAGGAATTTGCTGTTGGGCATGAGGAATTTCAACAATTACTTCATCGACAAGTTCAGGAGATGTTGGGATATCACTACTTTCAGGGATTTCAGTTGAATTCTCATCAAAAAACCGAAATTCTGAAATTTTTGCAGTGAATTTCTGGTTGAAAGGCTTTCTTTCAGGGAGAACAGGTGTTTTTAGCTCTTTTACACCCTTTATTGCACATATTTGCTGCTTCAAATTCTCAATTAAACTCTTTTTGTTCTCAATTGACTTTTTGTAGGCTTCTATCTGCATTTTGTAGTGTTCTATCTGCATGTCAAGCTGCGTATTTTCGTTCTTGTAGACGTCAAATGATCCAAAGAGTTCTTTTTTGAGTCTCATCAGTTCATTCTGGTTTTTTGTGTAGGAAACCTTTCGGGTCTTCTTCAATTGCTCGGAATTCTTCTTTTCTTCCATTGTTTTCTTCCGGATCTCGATTAATTGACCGACCAAATGATTTTTATATTCTTTTTCTTTGTTTGACTGGCCATGGCTCTGTATGGAGTTTAGTATGATGTTCTGGGACTCAACGGGCAGCAAACAGTCATCGTTAAACGAAAGGTTGGAAATATCATTTGAGATATTTTTGTCTTCAATGAGTTTTTTGATCTGTGTTATCTGGTTCCTGCATATAAAGATCTGGAATTCAGGGAAACAGATGCCAGTAAAGAACTGGAGTGGCATTAAATTCAATTCTTCAGGAGCAGGAGTTTTAATCGACAAAAGGAGAGGGATTTTCATCTTTACTGATGATCTGTTGGACAACAAGAAGCAGAAATAGGAGTAAATGGAAGGAATTAAATTCTTATAAACGGAAATCGTGTTAAAGAACGCGATAATGTAATCGGAAGTCTTGAACGAGTTCTTAGTGTCATATTGGATGAGTTTGGCCACAAAACTTCCTATTTTTTGTATAGGTTGATAGTCAATTTTTTGAGATTTAGTAAATTGATCGACAGCGGCAACAAATTCCGTGCAATTATTGACTCCTAATGGCTGATTATCAATACTTTTCAACAAATTCTGGATTCTTCCCACTAATTTTTCAATTTTAATTTTATTCAAGTGGGAAGTTATCTTCCAGAACGCCGTATCAATCTCATAAGCCTGTGTCTGCGTTGGAGAGAAGAAATCCGGTACAGTATTGTTCAATCTCAACAAGTTCATAATATTATGCAAAAAATCTTTGTTTGAAGCACTATCAGTATCAGCCAAAGTATAAACAAACATTATAATGTTAGAAAATCCATCAATGAAACGTTTTTTGTTAAAATGTTTCAAAGAATTCATTAAAACACTCTCATTCTTGATGGAAGGCTCGATTTCAACCATTTCATTGATGATTTCATCACGGAGATTGAAAAATCTGAACAAATAAATGAAAATTAGCAAACAATTCAAAATATCTTGGTTGTTTGAAAGAGAATTCGAAGAAATAATAAGAAGGAAAGCACTGACGTCAAGAGATCCACGTGATATCATGTCAAGTTGCAAAATTAAGTCACTATTCTCTTTTGAATAATTTTTTTGGAGGTTTTGACATGATTTCACGACCAATTTGGTCAGAACTCTATGGTCAATTGACAATGACTTGATAAATTGTACAAATTGACCGATAAATTTTGGATCATCTTGATTTTTCAAAAAATCTAAGTCATTTTCATTCAATCCAGGCAAAACAGACCTTTCCATCAAGTATAACAAACTATTTCCGAACTCATCAATCAATTCTGAGTGATTTAAAACACTTTTTGGCTGATTATTAAAATCAATTCCATGATTTTTGAAAAATTCAAACAAGTAATCATAACAAACATCATTATTACCATGTATTGCTGCATTGTGTTGACAGGGAATCAACAAACTCACAGTATAAAACAGTTTTGGAGCCAAATCTTGTTTAATTTGGCGAAAAATCGATCCGAAATCAGGAATTTCGCTATAATTCACTTTGTTTGCATCAACATCAAACAAAAACTGCAACAAAGGTGTGAAAGAAGTGTTAGATATTTTGAGATATTCAATAAAAAGATAAACAAAGTTTTTTCTTATATATTTCATAATACTATTATAATTATCATCATATATACTAATTAATTTTGATTCAATTTGATTTTTCAAAAAAATTATTTTTTCATTTGACAAAATTTCAGTCAAAACAGGTATAAAAACATCTTTCTTCATTGCGATGGATGCCAATGTGCGCACATAAGTCAAAGAAACAGAGTTATCATAGGAACATATCGATAAGTAGTCCAATGTCATGAAAAACATGTGGACAAGGTAAATTTGTGTAAGTTGGTCGGTCAAACCGATAATTTTTTCTGAAGAAGAGCCATTGAATTCGGAATAAGCTTGATTCATCACTGATTCTGATAAAAGACTGATGACATCACTGAAATTGGATGGCCTAGTGATTAGTTTAGAGATTCCGGTGATGAAATCATGTGAAAAAGTGTTTGTATCCAAATTTGAAAAAGATTTTAAAGAAAGAAACACTTTTTCAAGGTTTGGAGGATACAGATGGCTACTATTAATGTCAATACCTGCATCCGATGTCACTTTGATGTCTTGTTTCGTAAGTGCGTCGATGACATTTAATAATAAAAATTTTTCTTCGTTTGTGATATGCATTTTACCTGTAAAAACACTTGCATTGTCTGATGTTGTCGTTCTATGTTCAGTTTGATGTTTAATTGTATGGAATCTAGTTTTTGAATTGTATATCTGTTAAAACATGCGGAAATGCTATTGATTGACTCTGCAAAAACAATAATCTCTTGTATCTTTTTGATATTCGTAGTTAGCTGGTCAAGAAACTGCGTAAAATTTTCAAATTTTATAAAAGCTCGAGTGTGATTTGGTCCTAAGTCAATTTCTTCTATTAAAATGAGCAATTCAGTTATGATACTTAACGTGTCATTAATGATATTTGTATCTAATCGCTCGTTACTTGAAAATTTTGATAATAATTCGGTAATTTTAGTTTGAAAAACCTCTGCTGACTGACTTCTCGGAAGATATGGTATAATTGTGGCTAGTCGGATCGTCCAAAATCGAATTTTTTATGTATAAATCAAATGTTTGTAAAACATAAGGTCTTGCACCACATTTTGGTACCGAATTCATGATGTAAAGAAGTGAGCACCACTTTGTGATCAAATCATCGTTGGATAAATTTGGAATTTCACGAGAAAATTGTTGCAAATTTGTAAAATGAGGCTCAGGACCTGATTTAATCTCCATAATTCGATGAGTAAGTTCTTCCCTAAATGAGTTGGACTCCGATTGCGGTATTTTAATGTAAGAAATTTTGTTCCGCTTTTGGGAGTCGTTCATTTGACCCTCAATTTCAAATTTTCTTATAAATCTTGCTATTGTTAAAGGATTTTTATCACACACATAAAATAATGCAAATATTACATATAAACATTGTGGTTTTGACTTAATTTTTTTCAAATCAATTTTTAGATCTAGATTTATTCCTACATTTTATTAGAAAATCCCAGAAACAAAGTGAATCATTGCGATTAATCACATTAAATACGAATTTAATTTGAGATGTTTGATTTCACAAAATTTAATCATTTATTCTTGATATCATGTCGATAGTTTAGAATGAATTAGTGAGTTATGACAAACATTTGCTCTTTTGGCTCATTTTTATTGTATGATCAGTAAGAATTTTTATCTTGATGCAGCACTCCGCGTTTTGCATTGTACGCCAAATACACAAGACAATGTTAAGAAGTTTTGCAATAGCACCAAACAAACAGATTCTAATAAATTCATTTTTTTACTAAATGAATATTTCAATCTCTTAGATCAGAACTATAAAGATCTATCAAAATATCCAAATGTTGAATTTATTGAAATTTATATTAATCAAGTTACAAAAAATGATCCTCTCCTTCCATCTTTCAAAAATTATTTTATTTTTCTACTACAATATCTGGAAGACAATCAAATAATACCATTTACTCAATATGATAATTTACCAGAAACAATTAACAAACAATTTTTAAGAGGTTATTGTCACATTTCACGTCTTTCCGATAATCAAATAGCATTTTTCTTATACAGAGGCGTTCATTGGTATATTTACATGAATGATTTATTCATGGATATAGATTTTCTTGAAATTGACCAAAGCAAAACAATAATTTTGTTTGAAACTAACAATCAACTGTCATATTGGCGTAATTTGAAGAATTCTAACATATCAGATATAAGTTTGAACACATCACAATATGATTTTCCCAATACTAAAATTAAAATTTTGATTATTGATCAAATCAAAGAAGTAGTATCAGGAATCCAAGAAATAATGAAGCCAACAACTTATAGTGACTTAGAAAGATATGCAAAAGAACAATTCCCTTATTCAGACTCTATTAAAATTTCTTTTATCAATAAAAACAACGGATTCAAAGAACTGACAAAATACAACTATTACAATCATTGTGACGAGCAAATTACAATTCAAGGGGTTACTTTTAATCCAAAATTCAAGTGCATCGTGATAACTTCGAAAGATCCAATAATAACATCATATTCTTTCTATTTTAATGCAATAGATCCAAAAGAACGCCTATCAGAAATATTTGAAGATGAAAATTTAGAATTATTTTATTTATTAGAAAATTCTCTTGCACCTGCTACAAATACAAAAGATAATAACATAGATACACTCTATTTATTCATTCCAGGATTTGCTTTACAACCAAGATTAGTTTGAAAAATAACATCCAAAATAAACTAATCGAATTATATTTCTATTCAGGGGTTTTTAAAATGGGGTGCAAAAAAGTGCAAACACGATTATTTAAAATTGAATTTTCTCATTTTTTTCCGCGTTTGAAATTTTTTGCATATTTTACATTATGACCCTACGCATGTGCATTGTTTTGCTTATTCAAACAGTTTATTTTTGAGTGAATCTCTCTGTATTTTATTTTTCTGTGTTGTAAATCTCAAAATTTCAAATTTACTAAATCCTAAGAATAATCATTATACTCAGAATTCGTTTTTAAAATTTCTATAATATAGTAATAACATCAAGGAGAAATGCAAATAGAATCTGAACATCATTATCATTATCTATATATGATCACAAGTCATATAGTCGTTTTCTTTCTATATTTTAATTGAAAAGTTTAATTATTCTTTTATTTTTTTTAATGAAACTTATCTTCGAAAATATCAGAAAAAGAATAAATAGTATCTTATGTAAGAGCATTATTCGTTACCACCATGTGAAATAAGAAGTTCAGCTGTTTCTATTCTATTATAAGTTGCAGCAATTTGAAGTGCGGTTTCCCCATCATTATCTTTTTCATTGATATTCGCACCATGTAAAATAAGAACTTCGGCAGTTTCTTCACTATAGTTCATTGCTGCATAATGAAGAGCGGTTTTTCCATTTTCATTTTTTTCATTGATATTTGCGCCATGTGAAATAAGAAATTCAGCAGTTTCTTTATTATTGTGCATTGCTGCAACATGAAGTGCAGTCTTTCCATAATTATCTTTTTCATAGATACTTGCACCATGTGAAATAAGAAGTTCGACAGTTTCTATACTATTATTTTCTGCTGCAATATGAAGAGCTGTCTGTCCATTAATATCTTTTTCATTGATATTTGCACCAATTGATAGGAAATATTCTAAAAGGGATGGAATATTAAACATCACTGAATAAATAATGCATTTGTTAATTGCATTAGTTTGATCAAAATAAACTAAAAATGATTCAAGATTATTATACAATGCACAATAATTCAAATCTATTTCTATATTGAACTCATTCATCAAGAATGTAACAAAATCAATATTGTGTGAAATAATTGCATAATGCATGCTTTCTTCATCTGGTTCTTGATATTTCAAACATTCACTCATGATATCTGGATTTCCGCCTAAAAATGAAAATTCAAGACATCTTTGAGTTATTTCTGAGCTAAATTTTGTTCTTAAAAACTTGAAACAATCAACTGCTCCATGGTAACAACATAATTCAAGTAATGAATATCCTTCATAAGAGTATGGATATAAATCGCATTTAAGTTTTTGATTTTGATCAATTTCATCTCTTTCAGTGAATATGATGAATTTTTCTAGGTCATTATTCATAATCGCGCTGTAAATTGTATTTTCTGTATGAATATCAAGATTTTCTGTTTTAAAATTTTCGAAATCAAGAGATTTGTCTAATTTAATTCCATATTCTTTATAAAGCAGAAATTTGGAAATGATATTAATTCTTTTGACCTCTTCTACATGGTATTCATCAGATATCAGTTTGGAAAGAGATAAATATGACTTTGTATAGCGATTATTATAAGGAATGATATTTAAAATATCTTTTATAATATTTGTGGGGAGACGTTTCTTTGAATCAATCAATTCTGTTTTGATTATTTTGTAAATTGAGTTTAAATCTTCTTCATTTTCCGTTTTTAGCTGATACAACGCATTGTACGAATCGATGTAGTATTTGTAGTTACTTCGTAATTCGATGTATTTGTTTGGATGAATGTCTTGATTGGAAATTAAAAAAATTTTAAAAAGGGCCTAATTGCGTTTTTACCATATAAAATAATTCACAAACTCATTAGAAGAAAAACTATTTTATACATGCGGAAAACAATGATCCCAAAAATTTCAGATCTAATTTATGAATTTAGATTAAATTCATATATAAATGAAATGTAATAGTCGTTGGCAATAGGATTTTCATCCAGATGCTTCTAATAGAAGATTTTTTGGCAATCACTCAAAATCAATTGATTCTTTGAATCTAGATAAAAGCTCATATTTAACTAAGTACCACTTTGTTTTTATTTTTCAAAAGGTAAAAATTGATATTTTTTTTTAATTTCTCTAGTTTAGAGCCTGAACTAATAGATAGCTCATATGGAAAAAGTGAAACTATTATAGTGTGGGAAAAATCAATGTCCTACCACTTATATACATTAGTAACTTGAAAAACTGTTTAATTTTAATTGTAAACCTTGTCTAATTCACATGTTTATTAAATTTATTTAGTTCTATATATTATAATTAGTTAAGGGTGCACACGAGAGGATCATGTAAACTTCAGAATTTAGAACCTTATTTTTAGGCATTATCTTGGCTACCTATTTAGGCTCGAAAAGCAAAAAATATCAAAAAATACAACTTGACTCCATTATGACCCTTTCATGGAGGTAGTTTTTATCCGCTAGTATTTTCCCTTTGAATCTCTTTACAATTCGAAATCAAATTCAAAACTCAGTAGAAGAAAGGAAGAATCGACTTACTACGGTTGTAATACAAATAAATACATATATTTAATTATTTTATTTACATAATAATTGTTTGAAGCTCATATTCCATCAAATTTTTAAATAAAAACATTAAAATGTTGAAAATGTTCATATATTTTAATAGGGTTTTGGCACTTTATTGAGGAATTACTACATACATAGTCGAACTGAACTTGATATTTTGAAATTTAAATTATTTATCAAAATTAAAATTTAACTTGAAATTTATAATTATTTAGTCATATTTTGCATAATTCTAAGTAGATTTGTAAAAAATCAAGAAAGAAAAATTTTAACGTGCTTTATTTTTTCTTTTTTTAATAATAATACATATTATTATATAATTAACATATTCATAATGTTTCACCTTTCAAAAATATAATCCTCCTCCTCTCAAATAAACGTACATACGGTGGCCTCTTTTTTCAAAAAATTAAAATTTGAAATTTTGGGCTCAAATATTAGAGATTTTTTCAACCTTCAACGATATATGTTGTCTATATCAGACCTCCTTTCTTTTTGATACTTAACATTGTTCCTAAATCTTAGCCGTTAAGGCTGTTCTGAAATATTTTTTTTTTCGAAAAAATTCAAAAAAATTCTTAAAATTCAAAAATCCCTTAATTCCTGAGGATTTTGGAAAAAAGTTTTACATGAACATGTGTATATTATATGAAGTATATTGATAAGGTAAAAATCAAATTTTTATTGCATATTCATCGAGAAAATAACTAACGAATCCCTCAAAATTGAGAGGGTAATCCTCCTCCTCTCAAATAAACGTACATACGGGTGCACCCTTAATAGTTTTAATATTTATTGTTTTCGCTTGATTATAATTTCAAGAAATCTGACCAAGTGCTTTCTTGGATATTTTGGATCAAGGTTGGCAAGCTCTGTGCGCAAAGCTTCAGATTCTGTCCTAGAAAACTCTTCGAAATACTGAGGAATCTTCAAATCAGCGTAAAGTTGTTTAATATCATTAACGTACTCTTCATGGCCGATTTTTTCTTAAGAATCTTCTTTTGATCGTCATTGGCCAACTCATAAGCCTTGCAATAGCACCAACTAATTTTTGCGTCCTGAATATCAGTTCCAATCTTACCTGTATGCTTTGGATCTCCGTAAACATCGATATAATCATCTTGAACTTGGAAATAGTTGCCTAATCTGATCATAAACTTTTCAATATCTTCAAATTTGTCGTCAACATCGTATATTTGACTTCCAATAAGGCCAAAAAACTATAGGAGAGACAACTGTATAGAATGCTGTTTTGTATGTTACAATTTGGTTGTATTCTTGGAATGATGGTATTTTTGCTATGAAATCGTATGTTTGGCCAATAGTTGTGTATGTACCAATCTTACGTGAGAATTCAATTAACTTTGCGTAGTATTTAGTATTGAGTTTGTTGCGAATTTTGTCCAATAAGACATAAGCTAGATCTTGAAGAATAAGACCATCATTAACAGCTTGGTCACCAATTTCTTCACGTTTGTACCAACATTCTTGGCCTCTTCTCGTTTCAGATTGATCCATCAAGTCGTCGGCTATCAAATAACCAGCGTGAATGATCTCTTCAACCCAGCCGAGATAATATCCAACCTTAGCTTCTTCAGAATCTGGTGAGTATCCAGTTAATTCAAGATAAACAGCTGCAGTCATAATTCCTCTAAGCATTTTTCCGCCTTTTGTTGAATATTCAAGCATATCTATGCAGTGTTTTTGTACCCAGTCAACAGTGAATCCGTTGAGAAACTGGCTAATGCATTCTTTAACTTCTGGATAGAAAGCAAAAAATTCTTTGCTGCAATTCATATCAAAAAAGATAATTGAATGGAGATCACCAATTTATTTAAAAAACAGACCCTCAAAATTTATCGTTTTTTCCCAAATTTGCCAACACATCATAATTCTATAATACATACAAATACACAACGTTCAGAAGAAATCGATATATGAAGAGTTTACTACAAAGACCTATTCAATGGTGACAGGAAAACATGTCAAAATTACCCGAATGAAGCATGTGCATCATATTACTACTTAGGAAGTTTGTCTATTTTTAGTAGATATAAACAGAGTTATTTATTTTAATTTACCCCCAACTTCCAAATAACTCCATAACTTATTTAGTTTGTATTCTTCTTCTGCTTCAAGTGATGCAAAAAATTGTCTTAATTATATCTCAGAAAATGCTCTGTTTGAGTGGAGAAAGACTTAGGATCAGGTAACAATTTTACTTCATATAAAGCAAATAAAAGACCAACTAGTTATGGAAAAAGTGAAACATTTGATTAACATAATCAACTCCCAAAAGATCTCAATCAATGGATTGATCAATATCATAATAGTGATGTTATTGATTTTAAGTTTCAATAAATAATTAAAAATTGATATATTGACAATAGAATTCCAAGATCATTTTAGGAATGATTTATCTCATTAATCTATGAATAGTTGCAAGGAAATATTTCCGAACTTAGACATTGTTAACAAAACAATCTTCATGATCTATTACATCGTTAATTTGGTAACATCATTGTTTGATAAATTTAAATTAGGAAATTGATATATATTATTTTACAGCATGAGAGTTAAGTTCTTTCTTTCTCCATTAAAGCACATGATATATGCAATAGATATAGTCAAACTAGCTCCACAATAGATTTCAACAATACCATATTATCATTATTAATAATGAATACGCGAGACCATTTTCATTTTTTTTTGTTCGATGGGCCAATAATTGTTCTTTAGTTAGGGTGCTAGATTGAGCATCAAAACCAAAACATCCCATATATATTGCACACCTTTCATGAATAATGAATTTTGACGAAATCTATCATCAATTGGATTACAGTTGCATCAAAAAAGAACCCCATTTTTGCTTAAATTCAATATTATCATTAAAACCAGTACTATAATCATGTTAGAATTGCCAATATATCTACATTCACATGTGATGCCATTATAAACTTTCAAAAAACAGAAGTTATCCATCAAATTCTTATGAAACTAATATCAAATAAATGAAATTTGAGTTAAATTATATCAGTCGAGAAATAGGTACAATCTCAGATCGATAAACAATTTTCTATTGATATAACAAGCACTAATAAGTATCTTGTATGGCACGCATAATAATTTACCAATTCATCTATTTATACGCCGAATCTTTTGAAACACAAATTCATACAAATGCTTTCTCAGATACATTTACAAAATCCTATATATTGCTAGATATAACAGACTGCAGCTATAGAAACTGAAATGATTTTTCAATCACAAATACATAATTTGAAATGTATTTTGCATCATGTACAAAGAAATTGTTTCAACAAGTTTCACTGATTATAATGATTGATTTATAACATATGAAATAGAAAATTCATTAATATGTGGGTTCTAGAATGGAAAGCTGGAATGATTCTTGATTTAAAAGCTAATACAAAATAAAGATTCAATCATTTTGAGTTTATTTAGCTTGCTTAAGTAAATCGATTATTAATACTGTTTAATAATCCAACTAAATTATTTAAGCTAATAGATTATGATTTAAAATAAATATAATTTTTTTTAATAATAAAATAACAAACAAATATTTATAAATTAGGCAAATGTAAGAGGAAGCGATGCTCGTGCATTTTTGGCTCGGTTTCCAGGCAAATTTAGCAAAGAATCAGGATAATTTCGAATTGTAGATCGAGTATATTCTTTAGATTCTGATTCAGAGTGGAGAACTCTTTCAACACAGATGAGTCCTGCAGCATCTTCTGCTGTGAATCGATGTTGGGGTTTTGATTGAACAGAGTTTGCAAGCCTAAACATAGATTTGTTCTTTCTAGGTTTAACCTTTAATTCATCAATCATCGTCTTAAGATTTGTTAATGAATAATTTGAAGATTTAGGGTTGATATTAACAGCTAAATGACCCAAAGGTTCATTAAGCTTTTCATCGTCAAATATTGATGGAACTTCTCGATCATCTTTCATTTCCATTGATAAAAAATCAATGGGTTCTGACATTAATCTTTGTTGATTTGGAGATAATGGCTTTTGCTGAGGTTTACTAGGTTCAACTATAGTTACCTGACGTTCTACAACAATTGGATTTTTCTTTGGTATAGTTTTAGATGCATGGATGACTCTCATTTTGAAAAAACGATTTTTTGGAACTCTTCAGCTCGGAAGGAGATATAATGAATAGATGATATTTTTGATTAATTTATGAAAGCTGTCAACTTAAGATCCCTATTAGTGAAAGACAAATTCCTTACACTATGAATTTTTTAAAACAAAATATATTTTCATTTATACCATTCTCAAGTCTATTGAAAACACAATGTGTTATATTTTTGACAAAGTTTTTGAATGCGTGGCAAGAGTTTAATGTTTTGGAGAGTAAATGATATCAATTTCTATTCAAAACAATTAAATCAGATCATGGAAATGTTCATTTCTATTTCTATGCAACATTCGAACATGAATATAGAATCATAGATATTGCAAATCAATTTATTAAAATATTCCAATTTCGTATTCAAATTGTTTTGAATTAATTATTATTTGATATGCTCTCTTGAATACCAACTATGAATTTCATCATATTTGTTTTAGATGATACAACAAGAATCCGATAAGTTTAATTTGATTAATTAATTTCTCATGCCAAATTAGAGAATTCTCTTTGTGAAGAGGTTTTATATTTAATTCATATATTTTTTAGACGGCAGAAGTGGCTAAACAGCCCTCAGAAATTTCGTATGAAAAATAAGGTTCTCTAAAGATTAAATGATTCGCAGCAGCGTTATAAGAATAAAATATGGATAGGACATCATATCATGATTTCACTCTGATGTGAAATGGCATTTCATTAATTCAGATTTATAAAAACTTATATTTGGCTATTTAAACCGTATAAATGCATTAAGCAATCTATTGAAACATGGGGTTGATGGTTGAAATTCCTATATTCACTGAATTTGAATGGACTTCTGTTATTTAACTGCAAAAGTGATTTTTATCACATAAAAATAAATATATCTAGCAAGTAATACCATTATTCGATGAAACAAAGTAATTTTATAGAGAATTTAAATATTTATTGAAATTAATCTAAATTATTGGTCTTTCTTAAAAGGAAATATCCACTTTTTTAAACGCTCAAATAATAGAAAATAATTTCAAAATATATAATACCCTCAATTTTTGACTTTTGCAACTTTTTCATGACCCTACCCAGGTATCTAAAATACCATTTATCGCCTGAAAAGCACCCTTAATTTATGCCAATTGACAAAATAAAGATATGTTTAGAATGCTGATATGATGGAGAATCATGCTGCATCATTATTGGCCAGCAATATATAATATTTAAGAAATCTACGAGATTATCTGATTTCATGAAACTCAATGTATACTAAGTTTCAGACTTTGAAATTTTAACATGTTGATATGGGTACATAGGGTTTATGATTCCAGTCATTTATTTAAAAAATTACAAAAATGAATTAATATGATGTGAGTAACAATGGTAATAAACGCTTAATTACTAATATATTATTTCTTGGTAGGAATGAAATGTTTTGGTGACATTTATAGAAGTTAAGCTGAGAATCAAAAATGCAAAAATTATTTTAAATATTACAAGCATTATTTGATGTCATTGAGTTTAGAGTCGTGTAGATATATGAGTACAATATGTTATTGATGTATATATGCAATAATTGTGAAAATGAAATGTGAATCTCAAGATGAGTTGCATGTTACTGCGCTATAATTTGAATTCAATACGTACATAACATTACTAAATGTATTTTAAGATAATACAAAAAATTAAGCTTGCAAAAAGATATCGAAATGTAATTTTCATTAGATTCAAAGTTCTGAATAGATTTTGATTTTAACTATTGATGAGTTTGTCAAACCTCTATAATAATAGAATGTAGAACTAATTAAATATAATTAATAAAAAAATACAAATTTAAGTGATATTATAAGAGATATATGTGATGTTACCAATATGATATGATATTGGAGAACTGATAGAATTGTGATGTGAGACTAAATATGATTTTATTATGAATAGGAGAATAATATTAGAAGAATTTCTTGAATTTAATGTATCTGAATATGTAATTGGGCATATATTCTATATATATATTGGTAGGTTAACTAGAAATAAGAAGATGAAAGATTGTTAATGAATAATATGAGATTAAGCGAAAATATATTGTTCTAATAGATGAGTGTTGAGATCCAATATATATGAAGAGGGGGATGTGAGAGGAAATATGTATATTTAATAAAATAAGCGATGAGAGAAAAAATAACAAAGATTTATATGAAATTTTGAGTATTGAAAAAGCTCGATTAGTGATTTTATGTCTGTTAAAGGAATAGATATTCTAGGAGAAAGATAAATTGAATTAAAGAAGAATAAAAAAAGTTGATTAAGATTGATAAAAATATTGAATTGTATGACAATGGAAAGAAGGAATAAATTGGTGTTGGTATGACGGTATCATTTCGGGAGACATTGCCTCTGCATGTCTCCCAGAATTGGACAATCTTCTGCAATCAGAATGTGATTGCAAAACTTTGACCGACAAGAGTGTATTGTGCACTCCTGTCGGTCGCAGTGTCTCATTCTGGGAGACATTGCCTCTGCATGTCTCCCAGAATGGAACAATGTTCCGCATTGATAACTTGAACGCGGAAGTTTGACCGACAAGAGTGTATTGTGCACTCCTGTCGGTCGCAGTGTCTCATTCTGGGAGACATTGCCTCTGCATGTCTCCTAGAATGGAACAATGTTCCGCATTGATAACTTGAACGCGGAAGTTTGACCGACAAGAGTGTATTGTGCACTCCTGTCGGTCGCAGTGTCTCATTCTGGGAGACATTGCCTCTGCATGTCTCCCAGAATGGAACAATGTTCCGCATTGATAACTTGAACGCGGAAGTTTGACCGACAAGAGTGTATTGTGCACTCCTGTCGGTCGCAGTGTCTCATTCTGGGAGACATTGCCTCTGCATGTCTCCCAGAATGGAACAATGTTCCGCATTGATAACTTGAACGCGGAAGTTTGACCGACAAGAGTGTATTGTGCACTCCTGTCGGTCGCAGTGTCTCATTCTGGGAGACATTGCCTCTGCATGTCTCCCAGAATGGAACAATGTTCCGCATTGATAACTTGAACGCGGAAGTTTGACCGACAAGAGTGTATTGTGCACTCCTGTCGGTCGCAGTGTCTCATTCTGGGAGACATTGCCTCTGCATGTCTCCAGAATGGAACAATGTTCCGCATTAATTGAACGCGGAAGTTTGACCGACAAGAGTGCATTATCCAATCTTTTTTGTCATATACCTCAACCCACAAAGACAAAACCTTACATAAAATAGGTAAACTTTGGTTTTCACTTAATAATGTTTATTTTTAATTTTTTGTTCTTTATATAACTTTTTCTTCTACTAAACTATTTTACAGACTCTACTGAGCTATCCTCACATATACCTGTGACAATAACACATATATACTCCCTTCATATTCTGATCTCATGACATATTACAGCACAAACTATAATTATACAACATACCTCATAAAGTCTGATTTTACCCCTATCTAAGCGTTCAAAACCTATTTTCCCCGCGTAATCTGATTCTTCTGGCTCTGCTGATTCGATTTCTGCTGTCAGATCGTGAAAATATGCATCACACAATGAGATAAACACAAAATACACAACTTAATATTTTCCTTAAAATTTCTCTTCAAGTTCATACTGAAACAACATCTTTTTTTGAAAATACAATTTTTTCAAAAAATGTATGAATTCAAAAGTGCATACTATATCTAGTCATTACCCAACATTAATTTTGTATTTTAGTTTTTAAGATATTCATTTTATTATACGTCTTATTCAGAAAATTAAATATATTTGTGAGGGAAAACGGAGGAAATAATAAATATGTCAAGATCGAGGAATTGACAATTTTAAGGAAAATATTAAGTTGTGTATTTTGTGTTTATCTCATTGTGTGATGCATATTTTCACGATCTGACAGCAGAAATCGAATCAGCAGAGCCAGAAGAATCAGATTACGCGGGGAAAATAGGTTTTGAACGCTTAGATAGGGGTAAAATCAGACTTTATGAGGTATGTTGTATAATTATAGTTTGTGCTGTAATATGTCATGAGATCAGAATATGAAGGGAGTATATATGTGTTATTGTCACAGGTATATACGTGAGGATAGCTCAGTAGAGTCTGTAAAATAGTTTAGTAGAAGAAAAAGTTATATAAAGAACAAAAAATTAAAAATAAACATTATTAAGTGAAAACCAAAGTTTACCTATTTTATGTAAGGTTTTGTCTTTGTGGGTTGAGGTATATGACAAAAAAGATTGGATAATGCACTCTTGTCGGTCAAACTTCCGCATTCATAACTTGAATGCGGAACATTGTTCCATTCTGGGAGACATGCAGAGGCAATGTCTCCCAGAATGAGACACTGCGACCGACAGGAGTGCACAATACACTCTTGTCGGTCAAACTTCCGCGTTCAAGTTATCAATGCGGAACATTGTTCCATTCGAGGAGCCCTCGAAAAGAACCTCACATCGACTCTCTCTTTCCGGCATCTTTACCTCATAGAAAACTGCTCGTTCGCAACTTTGTGTGCAATCTAAGAGATGATTGCGGTAAAGATGCCGGGAAGATTGATGCTGCAGCCCCAGGCCGCACTCAGATTTCATCCCGCTACACAATTGTTCATCCAACAACTGTCATAGAGGTTGAAATTTTCGACCAGAAGTGAAACATATCATTTTTAAGACTGCGGCGCGCAAGCAAGTTTGAACCTTTCAAGGGTGATCAGTCCTTTACTCATTTCAAGACCTCTTGTTGCCTGATAAAACGATACTTCCTTCCTTGTGGGCCATTGAAAACCGCCCAAGCCGTCACAACTTGCTTCCTAAATTTTATTTGCGGAGTAATTATCATGCATATTTTATCGGATAATAATATCAAAGCTAAATTTCATATTATTTTTTAAAGATATGCATTTTCTGTCTAAATTTATTTTTTCTGTTTCCAATTCACGGAATAATATTCTTACAAGCATATACATAGCTAATATATATCATTTTAATAATAATAAAACCAAAATGATGTATTCTTCATATAGTTATTTAAAATTCGTTAACTAGAATTGTATTCAGAACGAGGCAAAGTTAGGAGATACATAAAAACCAATAACTCGATAAGTGATACCTTTTTTCCTGATATATCTATATGTGTTAATGTCAAACACGATTTGGAAAAATTAATTCTTTAAATCGGCTTAAGAATAAGACCAACATCAAAAGCATGGTTAATAAATTAATAAATCAATGTTTAATTACCGATTCATGCATTTTTTTCAAAATTTCAAATTTCAAATTTTTGTTTCTCGAAAATATTAATTGTTTCCACTAGATTAACAAATAAACAATAAATTGGATTAATGTAATGTCCAATCATTCATTTTAAATTTTAGATTTAAAACAATATTTTTCTCCATATTATGAACTTGCAGGATCCTTTGAAATCTCATGATTTCATCTGTGACTTTCGTTTTCTATAAATTTTGATAGTCTGTAATGATGTTCGTTGTAAAGTCACGCAGAACTCATTCAAATGAAAATAATTTATTTTTGAAGAAAAAAATACTTTAAGATCAATTAATAGAAGAATAATATTTTATAGAAATGCGAAACTAAAAATTCAATCTTTTCTTTCAATTTTGTTGTTGTTTTGAAAAAATTTAATTCTGTAAAACAATTGAATACTATCATCGTTAGCCTTATAAACCTAAAATTTATATCTCATTATGATTTGTTTGCAGTAACTTTGCCATTTTACAGATTAATTGATAAAGAGTTGATCGCATTTAAACAGGATGCAAGCTATACCATTATCTCCTTAACTAATTCCGCTAAAAAATTCCGACAATATTATAAACCATCTTTTGTTAATGTCACAATTTTAATAACATAACATATCAACTCATGATTAGTGCGTAGTTCAATATTTTCGGATTATGGATATTTTTCAAACTTTTTATTTGAATGGTTTACTCATCTGATTCCAAATTATCCAAAACTAAGTAATATTACAAAAATGATCGCTGTGCACTTATATGCAAAATATAATCATCAATTATGAAACACTCTGAAAATACTTAAAATAATTATTTCTATTTTTTAAAAACATATAAGAATTATACAATATTAGCCAATTATAATTCATCCAAGATCGCTATTTCTGTGAAACTGGGGGTTTTGACATTGAATTTTTGAAGTTGCAGTTACATTCTTGAGAAAAAAGCGGTTTTGACGAATTTGTTTTCATTTCGAATGTTTGTCTTTTTATCTGTTTTAGCTCTTTCAGCTGTAGATAAAGACAGATGTAGCCTCTGTCAGACAGGCTTAGGCATTGTTCACGATGCCATCAATGCTGGCTATGATGATAAGCAAATCGTTGATGCCCTTAAGGCCAGCTGCCCAACATTACCATCTCAATATGTTCCAATTTGCAATGCTTTTCTTAAAAACATCGAACACATTCTTGCTGAAATTCGTGCCGGAAAGGACGACAAAGCAATCTGTGCTGAATATTCATTATGCGCCCAGAAGCCAAAGGTTGAGGCTGCCAACGGTCTCATCTGCGACCTCTGCGTCGACCTTCTAAAGAAGGTTGAGGAGATCATGGTTAGCACAAAGATTGAAGCCGATGTTATCGCTCTTGCAACCAAGTACTGCGAGAAGCTTTCTGCTCCATATTCCACCCTCTGCGACTCCCTCGTCAAGCAGTATGTTCCAATGATCATGCAGTACCTCGAGCAGGGTCTTGAGCACATTGAGATCTGCCAGAAGATTTCTCTCTGCGAAGCCTCAAAGAAGTCTCGCGCTGCTGACCCAGTTCTCTGCGATCTTTGCACAGAACTTGTCAAGAAGATCGAAGACATCATTGACGATACACAAGTTGAAGCCGATGTTGAGAAGCTCGCCAAGGAATACTGCGACAAGCTCCAGTCCATCTATGCCACACTCTGCGAAACACTCGTTTCCCAGTATGTTCCACAGATCATGCAGTGGCTTGACCAAGGCATCGAACATCTTGAGATCTGCCAGAAGCTCCACGTGTGCTCATCCTCCTCCTACAAGGTCAAGGACACAATTCTTTGCGACCTTTGCACAGACCTCATCGCCAAGATAGAAGAAATTATCAAGGATACAAAGCTTGAGGAAGATGTTGAGAAGCTCGCTAAGGAATACTGCGACAAGCTCGGCACAATGTACTCTGCCCTCTGCGAAGCCCTCGTTACACAGTACGTTCCACAGATCATTGAATGGCTTGACCAGGGTCTCGAACACGCCGAAATCTGCCAGAAGCTTCACATGTGCGCTGCCACAAAGGTTGCCCGCCAGCCCGAAAACGGCCTATTATGCAACTACTGCGTCACAATTGTCCAGTACATCGAGAAGCTCATGCTCGACACAAAGGTCGAATCTGAAGTCGCCAAATTAGTTGAGAAGTTCTGCGCCGCGTTTCCAGTCTTCTCTGGTGTCTGCGACAAGATCGTTGAGAAGTACGTTCCAATCATCATGCAGTGGCTCGAACAAGGCCTCGAACATGAAGAAATCTGCAAGAAGCTCGGTTTCTGCACAAACGCAATCAGAGCATCTTCCAACAGCTTCGTCTGCGACCTCTGCACAGAGCTCGTTGCTAAGGTTGAACAAATCATGGTCGACACAAAGCTCGAGAAGGATGTCATCGCTCTTGCCCAGGAGTACTGCGAGAAGCTCGCTGTTCCAATGTCCACACTCTGCGACTCCCTTGTTGCCCAGTACGTCCCACAGATCATGCAGTGGCTCGAACAAGGCCTTGAGCACCTCGAAATCTGCAAGAAGATCTCCCTTTGCCCAAAGAACGCCCAACGCTCAAACAGCTTCGTCTGCGACCTCTGCACAGAACTCGTTGCCAAGGTTGAGGAAATCATGGTCGACACAAAGCTCGAGAAGGATGTCATCGCTCTTGCTCAGGAGTACTGCGAGAAGCTCGCTGTTCCAATGTCCACACTCTGCGACTCCCTTGTTGCCCAGTACGTCCCACAGATCATGCAGTGGCTCGAACAAGGCCTTGAGCACCTCGAAATCTGCAAGAAGATCTCCCTTTGCCCAACAACATTCGAATTGAATGTCGCCCGCATCCCAATCTCATACGAGAACGGCGTTACATGCGATGTCTGCAAGGACTTCTTCAAGTGGGCTGAGGACGAACTCGAGAAGTACACAGTTCCATACCTTTGGAAGCTCGTCAACGAGAAGTGCCCCAACGTCCCATACCTCCGCCAGTTCTGCAAGATCATCAACGTCCAGAACATTGAGACATTTGTAAACCTCCTCATCTCCCAGGCTCCACCAGCCAAGTGCTGCCAGTTCCTTAAGATCTGCCAGTAAAACCTTCTGACTAATCTCTAAGTTTTAAAGTTTGATTTTATTTATCTTCTCTAACTTGAAATTCTTTTATCTTTTTATCCAAGGTAAAAAAGAATTAATCAGAACTTATTTTTAAATCTATGCTTTCATTTATTATGGTTTGATTAATAATTTTGTTTTGATCATGATCTGTTATTTAGATTTAATATAATAAATAGACTTATTTATATAAGATATTATTAAACACGAGAGATGAAGGTCATAACTCAATGAATTATTTCATTGCTTTTGCAAAAATCAAAATTTCTTTTGTAAATCTCAATAAATAAAATCTGCACAGGTAAGACATTTTATTTTTAAAGAAATTAGGTCGCTGTAATTGATGATGGACATATAAAAAGTGTCTCTTTAGTGTCCTTCAAAATTGAATTCATCAAAAATTTTTGGTCGAAAAAAAAGCAAAAATCTAATAATTTTTGATGACACTCCCTTGCAACACATGCCGCATGAGATTCGAGTCAAGAGCACTCCTTACAGAGCACTATCACTCTGAATTACACCGCACAAACCTTGTTTTAAAGTCTCGTGGCCAAGATCCAATCACTGAAGAACAATTCATTGCTCTTCAGAAGAAGAAAGAGGAAGAAGCCGCTGCACTTGCACCACCACAACCAGAGATGCCACCACAAGATGAAGAAGAAGATAAAGAAGAATTCCACTACGAACTTTGCCGCGATATCCCAGACACAGAATGTTTGTTCTGCGGCAAAGAGTTCGAAAATGCCGACTTATGCTTAGAGCATATGGCATCTCACGGATTTCGCTTCTGTTATCCAGATAAACTTGCTGATAAGGCAGGTTTGCTTGCCTACCTTGGCGAAAAGATCGGTGTTGGCCACTGCTGCCCAAGCTGCAGCAGACAGTTCCAGTCCCTTAAGTCTGTCCGCAATCACATGAAAGACAAGTGCCATTGCAACTACGAGTATGATGAAGAAGTCGAAGAATTCTACCAAGAGGAGATGGGCATCGTATTAGCTCAGCCAGGTGTCGTAGATTCCGTTGGAGAACTTCATCTTCCAAATGGAAAGATTTATGGTCATCGCGCTTACGCAAGATACTACAAGCAGAGACAACCAGATACAGAGGCTTTTCAACGCTCTGCTCGTCGCGCTATTGCTGGTCCTGAAATGTCACGCGAATCAGTCGATATTGCTAAGGATAGAGTTATGCGTATTAGAGAATACTACAAGCAGAAGTACATAAACAAGAAGATGATGAGACTTACAACTAAGGATTACCATCCATTCTCTGATATGCGTAGAGGTAACGCCGTTTGAGCAATTATCGTTTTATTTATTATGCAGAACTCTTTTATTCTTGCAAATCTTATAAAGGTGATATAATTAATGTTCATTTTTTATAATTTAAATATCCATTTATTTTTTCAACGAATATATAGGAAGTCATGATATTATTACCTAAAGTATATCTTGATTTTACAATAATATGTTCATTTTTCATTAAAGATTTTCATCATTCATTTGTTCTAAATATTCTATGGAAAATCAAGTTAATGAATGGGATGAAATCAATGAAAAAGCAAAATCAAACAATAATTTAGATAATCATAGCATTGATTTCATAAATCCGAATGATATTGTTGATTATCTAAACGATCCTTCCAAAACTTCACTTACATTAGACTACATTTACAATAAAATTATCAATCAGACTCTAGATTTTCAAACTTTCTCGACATTTAATTTTATAGAAAAAATTATTGATTTAACAAACGAGTCAAATGCAAATGAAATCACGACAAAATCATTTAAGGTATTATATCTACTGACTAAAATCAATCATTTAGATGAAAATCTGATTCATCGTCTTTATTTATTTTGCATTGAACACTTAACTAACATATCGAACCGATCTATATCAGCTATATATGCATTATTATTTAACATTCTTCGAATTGATCAATTTCGTAATATTTTCATTCAAAATTATGAACTAATTGAGACAATTCTCAATCAGATTCAATCCGTAAACGAACCAAATCTGCATCAATTATACTTAATTTTAATTATTGTTGTTTCAAAACCAGTGACCAAAGATTTTGCTTTATCAATCTGCAATTCAATAATAAATTTGCAATGCTCGAGTGACTTGCTTACCATTATCTTTTATCTTCAAATGCAATATCCAGATATAATTTTAAATTTTGATAGTTCTGTTGTATTAGGCGCAATTACTGATTCAATGAAGCAAGAAACCGTTTCTGAATCATTAATAGCCGTAAATCTCCTTTCTCTTATTATTCACAGCGATATCGAGTTTGATTTCGATTTTGCTCCATTAATTGATCTTGCGGAGTTAAAAGACACAAAACTAGAATCAGCAGCTTTATTTTGTTTATCAGAACTCGTTCTAAAGAATTCTGAAATTTTGAATCAATGTTTAGAGAGAAACATCATTCAAATTGCAGAATCTAAAGCAAATTCTCCATCCATAGTCCAAAAAGAGGCAATTCGACTATTGGCAGCTTTCATTTGTGGAATGACACGATCTCAAATGGAAAATTATATTTCTCCTGTTTCTATGAAGTTGTTATTGCAAGGTCTTGATTACGATGATTCAGAACTATTAAAATCAGTAATACAAGCAATGGATTGCATTTTTAGACCAAAATGTGGCGATTTTTTCAATTTATTTTATTCTTTATTTTTAGAATGTGATGGCTGGACATCAATTAATAGTATGATGTGCAATTATGATGATCACTCCATTCAATTCTTATCAACTGCTTTTTATCATAATTATTCTGATATTGAGTCTCTCAATGAAGAATGATTTATATATCTTGTTCTTTTAAACATTATTTTACCATGAAATACCATATTTAAACTTTTTAGTCATTAATTAGCACAAAATATACGTGATATAAAATTTTTATATAGAGTTATGATAGAATCTGGTACGCAATCTATAAGAATATGTCTATTGCAGTTCAAACATTACTATATACTATCATAAAATTCATTTCTTTTTGAATGAAAAAATTTATAATTCCAAAATATTGAAAATCATTAAACTTATGTTAAAAATATAGTTAAATATACAATATAATGATGCTTTATGATACATTTATTCATAAATGAATAAAAATAATATTCGTATAGAATTTCAATCGAGAAGTGGGACATCTGTTGCAGAACCACGCTTTCCACAGCACTTTGAATCAGGATCGTATGTTGTAGAAGCGAAAATAAGTGACACAAGACCGGAAACAAAACTAAATAACCATAATCCGTTCTTGTATCCATCCCAGGTGTATGATTTGAGTCCTTTTTCATTGAGAGAACTTCCAAAGTGGGAGATAATCTTGGAAGAAATCTGCATGACGACTCCAACCATTCCGAAAAGGAAGAAATTCGCAATTCCTGTTGCAAATCCAGAAATATCTGGACTATAATACGAAGTAAGCAAAGAATAGTCAATAGAGGCAAGACTCAATGTAAACATGCCCAAAACAAAGAAATAAACAATGATTAGTATTTTGCTGCATTTATCTCCATGGAAATACAACATTCCTGTTGAAAATGCAACGAAAACACCACTGGCAAACATAATCCACTTCTTTGTCTTGAAAATCTTGTGGCCAACAGGTAATAATATTGATCCAACTAAAAGACCAATAGAAATAAAGATAATTATGTTTCCTGTTTCAGTATTCGTGTAATGGCGAACATCAATCAAGAATGGGCCGCCCCAATAACTTGCAACATTGAAATATGGAATAACACAGTTAATATTGAACAAAACGATAGTCCAGAAGCGCCAAACGCGGATAACCTGGCCTATGTTCGAAAATAAACTTCCGAGTTTCTGACAAAATGAGCGTTTATCTTCTACTTTAACAGCTCTTTCGTTTACAGGCTCAAAACCATATCCTTCTGGCTTTCCCTTAGTAAAGAACATGATGACTAAAGAAAGTAATGTGCCAAATCCACCGATCGTGTAGAAAGCAACTCGCCAACCAAATTTTTTACAAAAAAGTGACAATGGAGAACCCGCAATAATTCCGCCAACGGTAGAAAAGGCCATTAGGATACCTAGCATTAATGGCAACTGCTCGGATTTGAACCAGTTAGCACTAACACGTAGGCAGCAAATGTATGCGGGGCCTGTTCCGATTCCAACTAAAAATCTTCCGATAATTCCAATCGTTAATTGATGGGATAAACCGCACATGATTGATCCAACTGATGTAAGAAGTCCGAACCCGCCAACCACAAAGCATGGATCAAACATATCTGCAAAAAGTCCAGAAATCGGTTGCATAACTGCATATGGATAAAAATAAATGCCTGAAAATATACTTAATTCTGATGTGGAAACATTGTATGCTTTTGCCATGTCTTCTGCGACAATTGATGGACATAATTTATGAAAGTTAACAAGTCCGTATAGAAGAGCAGTTAATACATATACTACTATCCTTAGTATTTTAAATTTCTTTGTTGGAGGCTCTGGTTGTGCTATAGAACTGTAATCTTCCATAGCTTTCTTTATTAAATGCCAGTTCACTGTCAGAAAATTTATTGAAAAGCAAAAGATTTTATCAGCAAGAAGAGTCAATATTAATATACGCTAACAATGAAACAAATTCAATAAAAGTCTCGATAGACTGATCGTATTTGAATTTTGCCAGAAATAATCTAATTATTTCAATATAAAATTATTGCATGGTGGCTATGACACACCATATTTTATAAAAACAAATCAATAATATCATCAATTAATTAATCGATAGGCGTAATAAAAGGCGCTGAGCTTCGAGTCTTGAAAATTCTATTATATGGCCGATTTCATATATGATATCATGCGATGTTTTAAAACATAATATATTTTAGAAATTTCGAAAAAAATGAATGCAAACGAGTACTTTTTGCAGTAATTAAAGGACAATATCTGATGTATTGTATATTAATTTGTCAATCTAATAAAGCAAGGCTGTTGTTAACATGTATGATAAGATCAATTATGAAGTTTATTAGCATATACAAAATATATTAATAGTGCCTGATTCACACAAATTTATTTTTACAATAGACATCTCAATAATATAGCTGATTCATCATTTCTTCAGGCTCAATTTCGAAATGAACTCTTTGTGATTTGATTATAAATTATTACAGTTAAACATATATCATATATCCATAAAATGTATTATACCCGTTGATAAAACATGAATTTTACATTCATTTGATTTTTTTGAATAATAAACCTCTTCGTGAGCTATAGTTTTCCACAAGCACAATAAATCAATTGTTGATTTCCAATCGTTTTTCGCAACAATAAGATGAATTTAACGAAGCAGAGGTTTGTCCCTAAAATTGAATCATCGATTTGAAGAGGATTTTAAGGAAAAATTAATGAGAGATGGTTTTATTAGAGAATTCATTTTTTGTAATGATAATTTTGTGAACGACCCACAGTTTAGGTCAAATTGACGGAGTTTCATTTTGAATTATGCTTAGATTCGGATAATATCAACGATTTATCAAATTGGAAAATAATTGATTTCAATGAATTTTCAAGGTTCGAAATTTTTGCTACACAAATTCATTCTTTTGTAGGAAAAAAGATTTTACATAAAAATTTGATAGAGTTTAATTCCATTTTAGTTAAATGACATTTTCGTAATTTTATATGACGAGTTTTGACAATAGTTAAAAAATAACTGAAATATATTGTCACCTTTTCATATTAATAAATGCACAGAAAGCGTGAACGCGATAATGAAATCGCCCGAGTTCAACAGAGAGTTAGTGGATTTAATCCTCAATGTAGCGATGCATGGGCAGGCCTTTGCCAGCATTTTGGCTCGAAAATTACACAAGATGAATTAGTTTCCATTGCCGAAGCTATAAAACCATATGCACAAGTCAAATTAGACCGCGATGCCCGGAGGCGTAAAAGCGTAATACTCAAGTGGTACCAAGATAATTGGGCTCAAATTAGTAAATATATCAAATATGTAGTGTTAGAGGATGATTCATCTGCTTAATCAGTCTATTTTGTACATACATTTCTTTTATTAAACATGTTCTTTTTCTATAAATATTTTTTTCCTTATTTTTATGAAGGTCTCAATGAAAACTTTGAGCTTTTCAGAATTTTGAGTGTATATATTTTGAGTAGTTGACAATTTTCTTTCACTGCAATATAACAACGGAATAGAAAGAGAAGAAAAATAAATAGTTAATTTTTTGTCGGTCAGATAGACTTATTTGCTAGTGAAATCGTCCAAATAGGATAAAAATATATTAAAGGTATATGCTGTTAATCCAATAGCTTTTGATCGATTTGGAATTTGTTGAAATACATTTTATTAAAAAGTTTTATATTATCAAGAAATTTATTAGTCATACAATTATATTATTTTTTCTATATAATCTCAATTTTCATGGGCTTTTGAAATATACTTTCAATAATTCTTAACTATCCGCTCCTAACAAAATAGTTCTTTTGAACAAACACTCAAATGATTAAAATACACATGTCAACCAAATTTATGGATAAAAAAATTGATAACAAATTTGGGCGGATTATAATGAGGTAAAAGCATTATAGATATTTGACACATCTTCAACATTCTATAATTTTCTTTGGTTGTATTCGAATAATGATTTTTCAATTCAAAACCAATTTCATTATAAACTGATCCTCCTCGAATTATTTTTTAAGATATTATTGATTAAAACTGCATCTATCTCATCATTTATTCATAAACTTTTCTACATATCTATTGATGGGCGTTATAAAAAGTTTTCAATGATATCAAACTTAAAACACTTTACAATTTTATCGAAAAAAATAATGTTTAAATCATTAATCCAATTAATTGGCACTGTTTAGTAAAAATATAATATGTCACTTTTTACATTTTTCGATGGAATCTTGACATACTTGAAAACCATATAACCAATAGCCATTCCCGATATATTTCTTAATTCGCTTATTATTTTTGCTTTTTTAACTCTTTTTATATTCTGAACGATTTCTTTGTTGTTATGAATCGTAAAAACATTATATTCGGAACAACTTTCAACTCATTTAGGTCCACAAGCTTACTATTTATGAAATTTAAAGAACTAAAGAGGTTAATTTATAAAAACAATTTAATCTACAAACAATTAATTAAACCAATGATCTTTTTGGTATAACCTTTTTCATTCCTGGCCTTGTTTTGATCGTACTTTTATATGTTGTTGGAATGATAATTTTCTTTGATACCTTACTTTTTCTTTTGTTCAGAACGCTATGAGAATTAAATCCACTACGTTCATATTTTGAATTATCAGAGATATATGAATAGATCGTCTTATAATTTTCCGATCTCGATGTGATCAATACTGGTTCGACATCTTCATCGTTACTGTCATCATCGCTTACATCTACTTGGAAGAACTGATCGATTTTCTTCAGCGAAACATAACTCTCACTTTCATAAGCAGAAGGAACATAAGGTATATCTTCAAGCCATGGGTGGTTATACACTTCTTGTGCAGACAATCTTTTCGTTGGATCTGGGTTAATTAATTTCGATATCAAATCTTGTCACTCAGGGGATATATTTTGTGGCATTCTATACTTTGCTTGCTGTATTTGCTTAAATAATGCATTCTTATTTCTCTTCGTCCATGGAAGCATTCCTGTTACCATTGCGAACAAAATAACACCAATTGACCACATGTCGCTCTTGATTCCGTCATACTGTTCGCCTGATATACATTCCGGTGATGCATAACATGGTGAACCACATGAAGTTTTTACCCATCCGTTTTCGCCAACGTACCGGGAGAAGCCAAAATCTGTTATTTTTATGTGGTTTGTTTCACTGAGTAATATATTCTCTGGTTTTAAGTCTCTGTGAGCGATGTTAAGAGAATGAACGTAAGCAAGCCCAGCAACGATCTCTTTAAAGATTATCTTAGCATTTTCTTCACCAAGTTTCTTGTTTTCAATTATATACTTAAATAATTCACCATTAGGACATCTCAACGATATTTTGAATTTAAAGCAATCTAATGTGATAAAATGCTTTCACCCACATTGCATAAACAAAATATATCATTCAGACATTAAAATAGATGTACAAAAAATATAATTTGATTATTTCTAACTAAAAACAATAATCTTCATACACATTTTTACTAAATATCAACTATTAACAAAAATATAGAGTTATTCTTGCAAGTTCCCACGAGAGTTCTCCTTTCTTTGCAATAAGAAATTTTTCTTACAGGTTTCGGAGTATTTATTATCTTTATAACCTCGAATGTCCTTGCATTCAATATCAAACTTTCATTAGAATCCAGAGAAATGAACAAACATGACAAATTATGGTAAATTTCCAATTTTTTCATTGCCAAAACAGTATAAGGATGAGCGTAGGACTCTATGTACTCTCCAGACAATGTAAACGATCTCAGGAGACTCGTATTTCCGCCAATAGCCAAAACACAGATGAATCCCGAGTCAAAAATTTCGACTTTTCTCGGAATTTCAAAGCCATCGACGGTTTTGAATGAATGGAAAATTTCTAATGAGGAAGTGTTGACCAAATAGACAGTCCCGTCATGTAGAAGGATCGCGACGGTCATGAGAATATCAGAACAACATACAGAAACAGGATTTTTGATTTGGAGTTTCAAAATTTTTCGATTTGTTGATGAAATTTTGAAAATCGTTCCATCTTCGCAAATTCCTATTACAGAATCGTTCTGGGAGGTCCTCATATCACATATATTGACAATCGCTGGTACAACTGTGCATTGAACAGAATTATTGAAAAATATTATTTTCAAACTTTGTTCAAAATGGTTGTAGACGACTGCCATTGAGTTATCTTTTGATATAATAGCTCTCATACTCGAATCCAACTTCATATCCATTGGAATATCGAATTTCGAACTAATTATCAAAGATTTTTGTTTTTGTGACACCAAAACACTCAATAACTTGAAGTTCTTTGGTGACAACAAACCAATTGTTGTGTTTTCAATGTTCAATTCCATTATATTCGAATCCAAATCAGTAATTTCGAATTCTAAGTTTGTAAACGTGATTGACTTGGTTCTTTTGATGTTTGCAATGGTGTAGAGTGATGGAATGGATACATTGAAGATTCTGTTGACCCAAATATGAAGATTTTTCAGAGAATAATCTGAATATAAAAATTCAATGTTCTTTTTGATGTCTTTTAGAGAAACATTGAAGGATTTGACTGCATCAAGGCATAAGAAGAATTCTGGAGTGAGTTCTGTAACTTTTTCCTCAATATTTTTTTCATTATTTTGATTTATCATCAAATTTACAAAATTTTGAGGAAATTCTGGCAGAACCACAGAGAAATCATCCCTTGGACGAGGAAATATCGGATAATTCGATGGAGTATTGAAAGATCTTCCACATCCGAAGTTTATGTACAAAAGAAAGTCCTGGAGAGTTATCTGGCCAATGAAGCATTCTTCAGACATCTTCGCGTAGTCAGGAGTCATCAAAACTTTGTTATCCAACAAATATTTTTTGTATTCTTCAAAATTTGAGTCAAAAACAACGAAAATCATATAGGAATTATTCAAAAATAGCTCAATTGCTTGTTTCTCTTTGTAATTCTTCGTAAAAGCAAACTTAATATCTGAAATTTGGATTTCAAAGCCTCCGACGATCAAAGTCGGGCCAAAATACGAAATAATCGTCTTTATTTCCCTTCCATTTTGCACAATTATGATGTTTGTGCAGTATTTACTCTCTTTTTCGATAAATTGAAGCCGAGAGTTGGAATAAATGAAAGGTTCGAAGTTCTTCGAGTGTAGCAATGACTTTTCGGACGAATTAGTTCGGTTTTTCAGAATAAATTCGGTTTTGATTTTCTCAATTTCAGCAATTACGTAAAAATCAGTGGCAATGAATTCATTTCTTACGTGACTATCAGATTTCAAGGTGTAATCAATGTTTTGGTTGATTCTTTTTGACAAATTAAAAATTAATAAGTCTGTGTAGTTGTAGATCTCAGCCAGAGCTCCGCAAACAAAGTTATCAACGTTGCTCTCTATATCTTCGTCATCGTAGAAGGCTTTGCTGAGGATTGACTTGTATTTATTGAATAAATCAATAAAGACCGTTCTTTCGTTGTAATAATAGCAGGTGAACACAAAAATGGACAAAGCCGTGATGTCACTTTCTATCAAATTGTCCGCAGTCAAATAATCTGAAGATTGTTTCCAATAAACGTCGACATTGAAGGAAACGAGTTGTTGCATGAGGTAGGACACAATCTGGAGCACAGAAATGAACTGTTCTTGGGAAAATTTAATTTTTGATTTTTTGAATTGAGTTCCAAGCTGAGAAATGTAGTCAAAGAGGGATTTGGCCAACATTATATTCTGTTTCTCAATCTTTTTCAAAGAAAATTTTGAGATATCATATTTTGAAAAGAAATCAATGATTTCTGATAGATAAGATAGGTTGTTTGGCATGGAAATATCATTATCAATTGTTGGCCGATACACCAATAGTGAAAGAGCTTGAGAAATTTTGATTTCGATATTTCCAGAAAATTTCAAGATGCACATCCTAATAAATACTGAAGAAAGGAAGTCTACATCGTCAATCTTGAGTAATTGGAGGAAAATATGAATCAATTTCACAGAATTATTCAAATTTTCCAATTTATCAAAGAATTTTGCAACAAAATCAATAAGTTCTATATCAACAACTGCATTGTATCTTGTAATGGCTATCATGATCCATTCCGTTGCGTATTTTGTCTTAATTTCGTGAAATTTCGGAATTTCAGCGGATAAAACATGAATAAACTTTTTGAAAAGGTCTGTTTGCTGATACTGGGCCACGGAAAACAAGAAATCAATCAAAATATCAGGTAAAGAAGAATCATGAATTTTTGAAGCCAAATTTAAGAATCCCGTTTCATCAATTTGTATTTTGAAGTCGTCCTTCCCATAAAACGCAGTAATTATGATGTCACTGCCCATTTCTTTGAACAAATCTGAAATTATTTTGTCTTTATAATTCGATCCTTCCAAAACTCCGAAAATCAAGGCCAAGAACGATTGTGACTTAAACCTTGATGCATGATTAATGAACTTTATGATGTAATTCCGCTCTTTTTCGGACAAATCAGATTGTAAGTGGAAAATAATGACTTTGAAGAAGGAAATGGCCAATTCATCGGTTGTATGCCATGCAAAACTCAACATGTTCGATACAGAATTGAGTTCCAGACACAAATCTAAGTTATCATAGTAAATTTCAGGCAAAATCGAGGAAGCAATGAATGACACGACCTTTTCGTCCAACTGCATCCAGAAGGAAATGTTAAACCAGACCTTTTTCATGATTTTGCTGCGGAGATTTAAATTTTTAAATTTATTGAAGAGAGAAAACATGTTTGTGATCATTTCCTTGGTGTATATGGCCTTATCTAAGTTCAGAATTAATGTCAATGGGTTCAAAATGTCAGTTGATTCAATAATTTTCTCTTCAAATTTTGAATCAATAGAAAACAAGTTACTTAGAGTGGAAATCAAGTGATTTGCAGTATCATAATCATGACAGGCTGTTGCTATGTAGGTCATACATTTGTTATTGATGAATTTTTTGAATAAATCATCATTATTTCGTATTATTAGGCCATTAACCGTTGCTTCATCTCTGTTTGCGGTTGAAATGTTCGACATAAAGTTGCCATGGCCATTTGAAGGGTCAAAATGGTAAATTTCTTCTTCTTGGAGGAAAACAAAGATATTTCCAACGACACATTGGGTATTTGAGGCTATAACTACATTGTACTTACCATCATCTAGGTTAATTCCTTCTTCTGATAAAGGAATTTCGGTTTTTGTATTATTTATCAAAATAATCAAAGAAAATTGGCCAATTGTGAAATGTATTTGGCACGGATACTCTTGTTGAACATTTATCTTTTGTTTGATTTCGTTTTCTTTCGTTTTTATTGAAAGATAAAAATATTTGTCAAAATTCAACGAAAAAGTTCTTGATTCCATTTTGATCGTTATGAAATTGATACTCTGTGCACTCAGAACATCATAAAACTCCGCAAAAACGGTTATAGGATAAGAATTTGAGTTTGAAAACTCAGGGAGAGCGATGTACGAGTCAGAACTGTTCAGAAATGAGAAAGACCTTGGAAATGAATGCTTAACATTCAAAGAACAGTCGATTAAATCACATAAATAATATGGCCACTTCTTAAACTCAGAAACAGTCAAAGAATTCATCAGCTCGTGGGAGAAATAGCAATGCATGACCACGGAGAGTATTTGTATGAGCAATACCATTGGTATTTCTTGTTTTGTGATAATATCTGCGGCAAAACGAGGAAATTTCGAGAAAACGACCTTCAAAGTATTAAACAAAGAGTTTTCCATGGCTAAACATACTAATTTCAATATCTCTTTCATGTAATCTGAATCTGATAAAATATTATACGCAAAAACTAAAGAATTAGCATCAGCAATGTTCTGAACAGAGTCCAAACTACCAAATACTATAAACTTAATCCTATCATACGTCTCATAATTCACAAATTTTGCATCAAATTTGTAATTCGTCGTAAAAAGGAGTTCTGTTGACTGATAATAGACCTTTGAGATATTCACGAACGAACGAACAACTCCTATTATGCTATTAACGATATAAGGATAGAAATTAGCCAAATTCATCAATTTCGTAAATTGGTCGAACAAAATTGTGGAGATAGCGGTTATTTTTTCGGTTCTATTTCCGATTATCAATATAGAATCAGTCAAAATTTGAGATAATTGGCGTGTTTTCTGTTCTGAAGGGTTCTGGATGCATTGGTCGATGCAGTATGACAGGGAGTAGATGTATGTGTCCAAAGGAATCGAAAACCTTGAGAAAGCAGTGAAAATTAAGGAAGCATAAAAATTATATTTCGAAATATCGAAAAGTTCACACATAACGAAGGTCATAATGGATGAATTTCGAAATAGTGAGATAGCTACTATCTTTACAAAGCTCGATTCCATTAAAAATCTCAAGAAATCCTCTTGAAGAAACTGATATTCATCAGAATTGATCATTGTGCCATAATAAACTATAACTTTGTATGAGTTTGGTATATAAACAATCGAATTAAAGTGGTCTGGATTGTTTTTAATAAAATTTGATAATAAATTGATTTGTTCAGCGCTAATATGCATCGGAGCAGTTCCCAGAAGGTTCACAGAGTATTTTAATAACAATTTGGCATGATCTATTGATACATTAAACAGTTTTTCTAAGATTTCGTAAATTAATTTTCGAGAAAAGCATTTAAAGTTGTAATACTTACTATCTACCACTCGCATCTGATCATATAGGAAAGGATGGAATATTATCTGCCAGATTAAGCCGTTTTTCGGTATTAATTTCACAATTCCAAAATTAATTTTGTACAAAATGTAACTTCCAATGAAAAGAAGCATTATTGTGTGATACTCATCAGTAGTCATGAACTCCTCAACGAGAGTTCCCAGTCTTTTGAACGTTTTCGAAAGAAAATTCACAGAATTCATAAAATTTTGCAATTCTACAAACAAATCTAGTATTTTCAATATCATGGGATCAATAAATTCAAAATTCGGAGGTTCGTAAAATTTGGCGGCGGTTGTGATCGGAAATTCAAAGAAATAAAATTTTGAAGGATTTTGATCGATTGTCGGGATTTTTGGAATGGCGAAAGCATTCATGTAAGGATAGATAGGTTCAGGAAATCCAGAGATTGATAAATTATGGATCCAAAAGAAGATAAAATTCAAAATTACAAAAAGATTTTCTTGTTCATTCATTTTATCGCGGCATTCTGGTACGTATTGGACCATTGTGTTGATAACCTTCATGATTCCGTAGCCCAGATTGATGATTTCAGAATTCCAAAATTCATTTGGGACAGAAATGATTTTTTGAAGGAATTGGAGGGCTGGCTTGAATATTTTCATCATGAACTTGTTGATGCCTTGTATATTTTGGTCGTATCTGTTAAATATCGAAATAATTTTTAAAATTATTTTTAAATCTGAGTTTTCGTAGAGAGTTACTGGGTCCTGCTGTAAAATTAGGTTGGTCAGGTTGTTAAGGAATATGAATGTTTCGTCCATTATCTGTGGATTTTCTTCCATAAACGAAGAATTCGTCACAAAATCGAATATTTCTTCCATAAATGTCTGTACGTGTTCGCTCTTGCTGTCTCTTTTGTAAACAAGAAACTGCTGAGTGATGTCCATGTAAAATTGAATGATTAAAAACTGAATTTCCGTTTTTATCGATTCAGGGAGTAAAAATAAGATCTTTATCAGGATGGATGTATTGCTTACAATGATTTCGTTGATTTTATTTGCATCTGTAAGATTGTTATGGTATTGGTAAAAAAATTTAAAAGAAATTTGTAAAATTTTTGGATGAATTATTGATGTGAACTTTTCTTTGGACGTAATTAAGTCTTGGTGTTGATATAAATATGTCAAAAAATCATATTGTTGGGCAGAAATAGGTTTATCTAATCCAAATAACGTAACTAAGTATTCTTCATTAGAAATTTCATCACTCAGTTGTAGATTTGTTTGATCTTCAGCTAGAGTAAATGAATTAGATACTTGGTTGTACAGAGAAATAAAATTTGGATCAGTTCCAGGAGGAAAAAGAATTGTTTGAAACTCTGAACCATAATACTGTAACCATATCAATTGATGTGTCATGGTAAAGAATCGATCCTGGGCTTTACCATGTAAAGGGTGCATCTAAAAAGTCAAAACAATTGAGAAGAAAATTTTTATTGTTTTACCAGTTCGAATTATTGAAAATTAAAAATATAAGTAATAACTATATTAGATTTTTTATAAACGTGAATCCGACATCGTTCATCGGTTAGGATAAGCGGTTCTCATCCGCTGGAGCGGGGTTCGACTCCCCGTGTCGGAAAACTTTTTTTCGAAAATTAATCAAATACAACTTTTTTGTATATTTAGACACTCATTTATATACCAACAATTATTTAAATTTGAATTTTTAAATAAAATAAAGAAAATATTAATAATATCATTTAATTTGATTAATAATTAACTTTGGTAATCCTTTTACTTTGAGATCAATAAATCTTTTGATCAAAGACATGTGATCTTTCAAACATTCTCCTTTATTATTCACTTTACCTTCAAAAAATCCATCTGGACAATTTTTAATACAGGTAGATCCAAAGTGGTAATACTCTTCTGAACATTTATCACATGTTGAATAACTTGTGCATGAAGCACAGTTAACTGAGCAATTTTGACAGTGTTTGCTTGCAATAAATGTGTTATTTGGACATGTTGCATAGCATTTCGAGTTGAAAAGTTTGTAATTATCTTCACATTCCTCGCAGGTTGAAGAACTTGAACATGATTTGCAATTTGATGGACAAGTATAGCATTGGCTACCTGATGCGTATGAGCCGGATGGACATGTTGCATAACATTGTCCACGAAATAGTTTGTAGTTACCTGCACATGTGTTACATGTCGAAGAATCTGTGCAAACTAAACAATCGGCTGGACATGTGGCACAGTTACCTTGTGTGTCTGATCCTGATGGACATCTTTCATAACATTGTCCATTGTATAGTTTGTAGTCACTTGAACATCTATTACATGTTGACGAATCTGAACATGAATCACAATTTGATGGACACGGAGAACAAATGTTTCCTGATGGATATGTTCTAGATGGACATGTTTCATAGCATTGCCCATTGTATAATTTGTGACCATCTTTGCACCTTTTGCATGTTGCGGAATTTTCACATGAATCACAGTTTGATGAACATGGAGAACAACTGTTTCCTAATTGAAATGTACCAATTGGACAAGTATCATAGCATTGTCCATTGTAAAGAATGTTGCTTCCTGTGCATTGTGTGCATGTTGTAGAACTTGAACATGATGCACAGTTGTTTGGACATGTGACACAACTTCCACCTACATTCGATGAACCTGGTGGACAATTATCAATGCATATTCCATCAGATAAGATTTTGCCATCTGGACATTTAGTACATTGTTTGTCTGAGTAACAGATTTGGCATGGTGAATCACATGGAAAAGGAGTGATTTGTACAAAGCTTGGACCTGATTCTGTTTCATGACCTGGTTACAACTGAAACCATTGATCATATACGATTTACCTCCAAATCCAACTTTAGGTGCATAATCATTTGTATTTGGTTCGATACCTCCTTTTCCACAGAGATCGCCACCACCGCCACCGCTGCCAGGAGGATTTTGAGCTCTCCCATCTTTTTCATTGGAAGAACATTCAACGGTGTTAGATGGTGATGCTGTAGCAGCTTCAAGGTTATAATTGTAATTTGTATAAATAACGTGATATACGGTATCACTGCAGCCACCTGGTGCTCCAATTGCACGATATCCTGCACCTGAACCACCTGCGGCAACAATAATAGGATTTCCATTAAGGGAGATTCGACTAGAACCACCACCTGAGCCTGCCGTTACAGTTATGCCACTTGTTGTGAATACAGCTCCTTTGCCTCCATCTGGAGTTCCGGCGGTGTTTCCGGAGGCATCGCTACCAACAACGATTCGAAATTCAGATTTACTATTGCTTTCAAAAGTATATGTGCCTGTGATAAGGGCACCTTTGCCTGGCGCTGGTGAATCATAATTACTTCGTGTGTAATTGCCACCAGAACCACCTTTTGCAGTAAAAGTGTAAGTTCCTGGGTATAAATATACATTATGCTCACCAGCCAACCATTTCATGGAATACAATAGTGTCATCATATCTTTTAATTGCTTGCCATTATGATTGAAAATATTGATAAAAAATATATTAAAAATCATTTATAAAATTTATCAATATGAGCGAATTATTTGTTAGATATGGCAAGTCATACGTCTTGGAACTATAGGAACACTCAGGATCTAATTGAAAGCTTCCTATCATTGAAAATATACAATTATATAATTATTTATAAGATAGTCGAAAATTTGAACTCTATACTATAATTTAAAAATGTAAAATTATTTTTGATTTGAATTATCACTGAAATTGCAATTAAGCACGTTATATTAAAAATTATTCGAAAATATTTGTTCTATATACTTTTGCAATCCGTTGAATCCATTTATGACAATTTTATATCAATTTTAATTATTTTGTATATTCATATTATATGTATATATTATGAATATATTATGATCAGCACGTTGGATGATTTTGTAAAAATTTGAAATGAAAACGATTAAAATAATCATTTAGCAAATAATGTTTGTTATTCTATTTCAATGTCTCACTCTGTCATCTGATCAAATACCTGATATATACGCAACAATTCCTGACGAATGTTCTTCTGTTATGTACTCTGCAACATCAGAATTTGAGTTGCAGGCGAATACAAAAACTTGTTTTTATACAAAACCTGGATTTTTCTTTGGAAAGGGATTTATTTTAGAAATATTTTGGCAAGAAAATAACAATAACGGTGGATTCATGCATTTGGGTCCAACACGCAATGGAGCTATTGTTAATGTAAAAACCGATTTTGTATACGTCTTAATTACAACATGCAAAACCCAAAAAATCAAATATTATCCATCTACATCACTCTCTTACTCCTATTCAGTTCGATCAGGAATTGAATACGTTTTTCACACCTATTTCTCAACTAAAGAAGTCTCAAATTACACCGTATCAATGCAATACTCATCTGCATCTAATAAAACCACATACATTTACAATAGTCTCTTAGTTCTTGGAGATAATGTTTCATTATCAAATCAGCCTAATAAAGAGATTAATACTAATTTTCCAGAATCTACCATTTCAGACGCATCAAACCCCCAGCCGACTTTAAACTCCGATGGCTCTCTTGGCCTTGTTTCTTTCAAAGATTTCCAAACAATAAACTCTATCGAAAATGAAGTTCGATATGAAAACCAAGTGTCCGCGACACTCAATGCCATATCTGGCATACCATCTTTATCAGGAGAAATACCTTTTGCCCCTTCAATTTCGATGTTTTCTGAAATTGATTCTTCATATGTCGAGCAAAGTCTCGAATCTCCTGAGGTAACTGATTATAAACGAGATGAGATTACCCCTACGCCACTATCGAAAGAATTCCCAATTACATTAGTTCTTGGTGTCGTACTTGCTGTTCTTGCAATCGTTATTGTCATTATCTTGGTCCGGAAGCATTTCAGCCCCAAAGTTGATGGAGCCGATCAAAATTCAGAAGATATATCTGGAAACCGATATTATTCTACTGAAGTATCGGATAGTTTATACTCACAATCCGGCTCTTATGGTTCCAGTATCAATGAAAAATCGAGTGAAAAAGCAAATTCACTCGATGACGCTTCTGGAACTCAAGGCGACAACCCTGCTCCGCTTTAATTATTTAATATTTATTTTGCATTTTGTTTGTAATTAAATTTAATTTACCATGGATTTCTTTTTAGTATAAAATTAATGGAATTTTTATCGAGGTTGGCATTCTGCTATCGATAGTTTAGAACTATATGATGTCGGGTAAGCTACTCATTTTAGATTGATTTCAAAGCAAAAACAGATAGTTTTAGTTTATCGGAGGTTCATTTGTTATCGTTTATCTTAGCTGAATAATATCTGGGATTGTTGCATGTATCTAAAACAATATTTAATAATTAAAATACTTCTAATATTTTTTATTCCTAATTTCATAATTTAGGTTCTTTTGTTGTATTTCTCTTTCAATTTTTCTGAAGAAGGGACCTTAATTAAGAATATTAAACATTGTTTCGAATCCATTCCTCATCAATAACAGCAGGTTCTCTGTAAACAGAGACAACTGGATTTGCACCCAATTTAAGTGCATTCCTGACCTTTGTTGCCATTGTTCCATCTTGATATTCTTTTGGTACGTTTACGATGAACTCGGCAAGTAACTGGAGCGGAGTTTCTCCTCCTTCGTCTTTGTCGTCTATGTCGAAGCCTTTTTCAATTAAGAATTGGAGGATTTCTAAGTTTGCGCCCAAAACTGCATGATGCATTGCAGAACGGTTATGTCTATCCCTATAGTACAAATTTGCACCTTTTTCAATGAGGTATTGGATTGAATCCATCCTTCCGTTCTGAATTGCTGTTAATAACAAAGTTTCTCCTTGAAGACCAGAGAATTTCCTATTAACATCGAGTCCATGTTCGACAAACAGCTTTAATACATCAAAGTGAGTAACTAATGAATGAGTACAAAAGTTATCTTCCAATGATTTGTCAATGGAAGCTCCATTTTCAATTAAGAATTGTGCAATATCCATGTATCCATGATTAATTGCCAAACTGAGAGGTGTTTGATTAACATTTGAGACTTTATTGATATCTTTATCAAAATTCATTATTTCTTTGACCAATTCGACATTTCCCGAAACAATTGATTCGTATAGTGGTGATATATGCTCGTAAGGATATCGAACGTGTTTTAAAATAAATCTTGCAAGTATGATATTCGAAATTTGGCAGGCAGCTGAAATTCCGCCGATAAGTTTCTTGCACTCGTCGTCAAGGTTCTCTTGTGTGAGCAATGGAATCACTCTCTTGATGTTTCCTGAGACTGTTGGATGATATAAATCGATAAAATCCGTGGTTTCGGCAAGCCAGTCGGCAATTTCATCATTGTGTGTTCTGATTGCCCATGCAAATGATAAAATATCGCGATAAAGGTTGTTTTGGACGCAAATTCTGACGATTTCCATGTTTCCACCGATACAAGCGCATCTAAAGGTGTTTTGCGAAGAAATTTGTTTGATGTCTAACTTGGAAATGAGATATTTGAAGCAATTTATTGATCCAAAGTATGCGCAAATGTCAAGAACGTTTGAAAATTCGAAATTCGGATCGAAATTGAAAAATGGAATACTGAGCATTGTCATTCTTGTGCATTCCATTAAATGAATGAATGTATCTGCCTTATCAAATATCAGAGCATTCGCGTAAACATCTTGTTTAAATTTATCCAAGATGCTTTGATATAATGTATCATCGGATACATTATCATTAGAGAAATCAGGGCTATTCATTAAATCAATAAAATATTTGGGGAAAAAAGGGCTAATAAATTTGAAATTCGGATTGTCTTTTAGTATCATCCTGTAAAACCCAATTACATTTTTTACACTATGGAACTTATAGTATGCCATTTGACCAACCATATGAGAGATCTCAAATAATGTTATAATTTTTTCTTCAATATATGGTTTCAATTCATTATAAACATCAACAGGTGATCTACTGGTCAAGCTCCATAATATTTCATAGGCATCTTTTGATTTATACAGTGATTCTGGTATAATTAGCTCATTTTTCGACATCTTCAGAAATGAAAAAATAAAGTCTGGAAAAATCGAAATTTCCAATAATTATGCAAATAGAAACTTGAGAAATTCTATTTATGAAACATTGCAACTTGTGATAAGAATGGAATTTTTAAAAATTGACTCGAAATGCAAAATTTCTTGGATAGTTAAAATATAGTTCTTTTAAGTCACTAATACAAACAATAAATTTTACGAAATAAGTAAAAAAACAAACGATTGGAAAATTATTGCAAAATGCTAATTACTTTTGCATTTTGTTTACCAACGTACTGTACTTTCTTCTCAAGGCAATTGAAGATATTGAAATCTTCAGTTTCCGAACATTCAATCTGATGGAGTTCATCTTTAAGAGTTTTTGCAAAATAAACTATTAATTGGCAAATATCACTATGCGATTTTGGAACTATCCAACTCTTATTACTATATTCTAAAGCTGCTTTCAATGATGTTCTCAATCTTTTATTTCTTTGAGCCTTTTCTTTTTCATACTGATCTCTAAATGGGCAAACACAGATTTCTTTCTTTTTATCTTGTTCTGTTGTTATTTCATTAAGCTTTTGTTGATAATGTTTCTGTAAATTATTATACTCTTGTTTTCTTTGAGAAAGTTTCTCATTTAATAATGATATTTCATTGTTAAATTGGTTGACCGGTGTGACCTTTTGAGAAGAATCTTTTGTGGCTTTAAATTGATTAATTATTTTGTTTTGTAAGTCGAGAAGATTGTTAGTTGAATTATAATCGATTTTTAGCTTCTTAAGTGTTCTTGTGAAGTATGGATGAAGTTCTGTTGCCTTTTTATTCAGCATATTTAATATTTGTTTAGGATCATTATTTTTGCTATTTGTAGCTGTATTGAGTTTAGCTACCAATTCATTATATTGTGTTTCTTTCTCCTTAATTATATCTTTAATCTGTGTTGCATCTTGAATTGCCTTTTTTGCTTTTGAAATTGTCTTTGTTACTTTAGAAGAAGCATTCAATATGTCTGTTTTAATACTTTGAGTCATGAATTGAGAATTTCTCATGTTATCTTCCATTATTTGTCTTTGAGCAGAAACTTGAACTTGAAGAGCATCACGTTCTTCTCTTGATTTTACTACACGTTGCTTAAGCTCTGCAATTTTTTGTATTACTTCATCTTGATTCATCTGTGTTCCAAGTAATTCACATAATTTTCTCATTACGCGAATGTAATTTGCATTTGCTACATTATTTGCATTTTCAGCAGTTGTTATATCATCTTTTAATGCTTCTATCTTTCGATTAAGTGTATCTTTTTCTTTTTTAAAATTTACTATAGATTTCTTAAGTTGTGTTATTTCTCTTAGTTCTTCACTCCTTGATGAGTCATCAGAAGTGTTTGTTGATGACAGATCATGAATAATTAATTCACGGCGTGTTTCAACAAGTCTCGACATATAATGTACGTTTAAAAATTCTTCAAAAATGATGTCATTGCTTTATAATAATATCTTTAATGATCCTATGTCATGTGCATTCCAAATTATTTATAACTTTGCCTAAATTTACATAAATCAAGATTGAGAAATGAATTGAAACATTTATATGATATACAAATAGTTCAATTTAACTTCTCTCACGTTATCTAAGCTCTTTTTACATTGTATTATGGAAGTTTCAACTTATTAGATGATTTTTGGATTGAAATTTTGAATGAGAATAAGTTCAATGGTAAGCCATTAATAAGCAAATGTAGCTAAACCCTAATTCATCAATTTGCGACTTAAATAAACTCAATAAAAATTCCAAAATCTTATTTCTATATATAAATGCTGGAATATAATCATATAAAAAACATTTGATAACCAGGTGTTAATAAAATAATAACAATATTTTATTTTTCGTTCTCCGCATCGATCTTTGCAAATCTTTCCTTCATTCTCTTTATTTCTCTAGTTCTTCCTTGGTCTTTCAAGTAGTTCTTGACCTCTTTAAGATGTGCTTTGTCTCCTTGTCTGTACATCCAATTTGTGAACTGAATGAAGGAGTTGTCGACCATTGTCTCTGTTGCGGCCTTGAGATCTGTCTCGAGGATGATTTCGAAGATTTGCTCCGATGGGAAACCGTATTCTAAAGCCAAATCGTAGCATCCGTTTCTTACGAGCGAATAAATGCCTCTTCTTCTTGTCTTTAATTCAGTCATGTGGGAGGTGATATCAGCGGCGTAAACAGAAAGTCCGGACGAGATCAATAATTTCATGGCATCTTCAAGCGGAGTATGCTGGCCATTTATGATGACGTAATCGAACTGCGGGATTATTGACATGACTCTGAATACGGTTCTGAGGATCTTTTGCTGTCTGGATTTTGCAGCTTTAGTTCCATCGTCTTTCCTTAGCAGGGATTCGAATGCTTCTGAGATAGACAGGATCAGTGCCTCAGATACTGATTTATCCAGTATAACTCTTTGGCTTTGGACCCTTGCAATTAATTGCAAACATTGGAACTTTCTTCCTTCGGCCAATTTGGTGAATAAAGGAATGAGTTCATCATCTCTATCGAGGAAAACAGCGGATCTGATGCTTTGTGCCCATGGATCTTGAAGTTCCTTAAATGTCTCTTCAATCTTGTCAGGATGCATTTGTTCTGGCGTGAAATCGTGTCCAAATGCCTGGCAGTGGGCTGCAAGTATCGTATACTTGTATTCGGCGTTGAGAGTCTCGATATCTCCGAATGTCTTTTGTAATGTGACCAAATCGCCAATAGAGAACAAACAGGCAATGCCTCTGGCCTTGGCTCTGTATGGAATTCCCTCTTCTTCGATGAACCGCTTCACCCATGAAAGAGAATCCAAAATTGTCCATGTTCTCAACACGAAAAGTGCTTGTTGGACAGCGCTCTTGTCCGCTGCGTAGAGCTGCTCGGTTGAGTTTGGATCCAAGATGTTCTTTGACTCTTCAAATGGTGGATATTCGGCGGAAAGCCATGGTTTGATGATTTCTGGCTTGTAAACCTTCGGATTTATGGAATATCTCGATGCTATTCTTTCTACTATCTTGTGTAGACGCTTTCCGAGTTGATCTTGAAGAGCGGTTTTGTTGTATAATTCGATAATTAATTTCTTCGGGTTGTTCAAGAGCTCTGATGTAGAGAATTCACTCAATCCATTGTTGGAAAGGTCGGAAATTGTCTGAATCTTACGTTGTTGTTCGACCATGCCAAGGGATTGGAAGAATTGTGGTTGTTCTTCGGGTTTCAGACGAGGAACAACGACTTTTATGAGTTCTTCCTGTGACTTCTGGCGGAGAAGCTTAACGTACTGCTTGTAATCATCGAAATACTGCGAGTTCATCTTATTTGTCATAACATGAACGACAAGTTTATCTTCATTGATGTTCATTGCCTTGGCGATAGGAAGAATACCTTGGATAGTATCAGTATTTGTCGCTGCTTGAAGAGTTTCAAGTGGATTTGCGATCAATTCGTGGAAATTAACGAAAACTTTGGCTCCAGAGTGAAGCTTGTTAAGGATATCCAACTGGCTCTGGCATGGGAAGTCAAGATCGTAGAGTAAAGCGTAGGCATAAGCAATAAGAGTATATTCCTGACCGTCAACCTTTGGAATTAGGTGCTGTAATATTGTCACAGCTGCTTGCTTATCTTCCATGAAGCGGATTTGTAAAACGGCGGTAGAAACGAGTCGAATATCTTTTGATGTGTAGTCTTCTATGAATTGTGCTTCAGAATAGTTCGCGATCTTCTTGTTAATGAACTTAGCAGCTTGTTCTTGACCGAAATCTGTAAGAATATGTGCGAGTTCTTCAAGAGTTCTTCCTTTTTGATATTCGTTAATTAAAGTGCGTTGTTGAGTAGCGTCTGTAAGGAATTGTGCTGTATTAACAACTCTGGAGAGGAATACGATGTAGTCGACTGATTCTGGCTTGACTTTTGTATAGATATTTTGTAAAGCGTTGATCCAGAGCTCTGCGAACTCCGTGAATGGCAGATTTGCCCAGAAGTTGTTTACAGCTGTATCGAGGTATTTAATAAACTGCGAGGAGTTCCAGCGATCCGTAATATTCAAAAGTTTTGGAAGAATATCTTTTCCGCAATTGAAGTATTTGTCGGTAGTATTTAAGTGCTCGAATAAATCAGATGGTTGGATCGTAAGAACTTGGCAAATTGTCGTGAAGTTATCCCATCCATCTTGTTTTATGAGCTGATCGAACAGTTTGATACGGGTTGACGTTTCTTGGAAGTCATCGTATGAAACAACGATAGCGTACGTTTCGGCCAAGTCGTAAATTGGGCGGATTTCCTTTGAATTTCTGAATTTATGGAGTCTTTCGGCGTAAGCAGCTGGATTATCAGCCTTTCCATCAGCGATAATAGAGTAGTTATCGTTGCTGCCTTTGTTCTTTTCGAGTTCAATTGACGGGGAACGTTTCCATCCGTCAGATCTCGTTGGAGGCTTAAGTGGTCCGGCTTTTGAAGAGCTGGTGTTCAAACGAGCGGCAGGAATATTTGCGCCGCCTGTTGTACTGGGGAGCATCAGGCCAATGGATCCGGATCTTGCGCGGAATGCCATTCTTGGCTTGTTCTCGAAGGACTCGACAACGTGGGGATTTGGTTCGTAGGCCAAGTTGTTCTGCTTGGCGTAGTCCTTGATCTGCTGTAGTTCTTCGTCGGACGTGTAAGTCATATCGGAGATGAATTGAGAACGAAGTCTTAATGTACTAACGTAGTCGGAAAGGATCTTTAGCTTGGATGGTACATCGTATGATTTCTTGGGAATGCCTTTAACGATAAGCGACTCTACATCGAGTTGATTTGCTTGGCAATAAGGGATAATCTGGGCTTTCAGCACCTTTAAGAACTTGACAGGGGAATCTGATTGGCGGACCATCTTAAGCATAAACTCTTCTTTATCGCATTTGAGATAATCTGCCAATTTGTATTCGATCTTGTAGTCAATGAGTTCTTTGCAAGCGGTTCTGTATTCTACAAGATGCTGCAAAATTGTTACGTAATGCTCGGAGCCCTCGATTTTATAGCGCTTTACGTATTTATCCCAGATTTCTTGATTCCTCTGCAACAATTGCAAAAGACCAGGTTTAACCATGATACAGCTATTAAATGCTGCAGTAAGGAATAAATAAGTGTAGCGAACATCATCGATATGAAGTGCAAATTTAGAAATCCACTTAATGGGTAACAAGGGGACGATGCTAATTAAGAATGGAATAAAATGCTTTGGAGGGTATTGTTTTTGATTAATTGTTGCAAAGAAATTCAAGAAGACGTGAAGATAATCTAAATGTCTTTCGCATAAAACTAATACTTTTTGAATTGAAACTTTCGGGATAATTTCTTCGAGTTTGGCTTCGAAATCGCAATCCTTAAATTCGTACCACTCGTTAGTGTCAAAATGTTCATAAATAAGACAATACGACCCGAACTTTTGCTTTGTTGCGTAATCGTATTTCTCTAGCTCTTCCGTTATATTCATGGGTAGAATGAAGTCTTTGGAAGGTGATTGAAGAAGTTTAGACATTATAATTTATATATTAAAAAAAATAATAATAACTAACAAAACTTGACATTTATTTGTAAAATTTTATATAAGCAATATCAAAAAAATTGTTGAATGTTTGATGTTTCGTATGCTCGACTGAACCAGAAAATGAATTCTAATGCACAACCGGAATGGCAACGATTACTGAAATCACTTTTTCCGGGGGATTTACGGGTTTTTTTTTCCTCCATTATCGTCATTCTTATGCGAAAAGTACACCAGTATAAGACGATAGAAGGTGATATGTGGAATGGTTAGCAATTGGATAGATCTAATTATGCTCATGACCAAGAAAGACTTTGAGTATGAACATATTGTGTTAATGTATATATTTGTAACATGAATTACTGATTCAAGATCTGATTATGCATATAGAATGAAATTAATGGAGAAATGATCTTAATTTATTGCGTAAATAGTGGTTCATGCAAGAAATCTCTTAAAAATCTTTGAGTTCTTCAAGAAACAATCTTGTTCAAGATAAGTATCGAGATATTTTAATAAAATTAATCATAAATCGAAGCAAAACATCACATTTGTAAATAATTTCAAGTAATATATAAAATTCAAGATTAGAATGTTTACTGAATGCTAACAAATACCAACATAATCTCATCTCTCCACTAGAATATTAATATGAAGCAGTTTTTTGTTTAGATCTAATATAAAAATGAATAAAAACTTTACTTTTACACTTTTCATTCAAGTATTTTACTAATATAGATCATGATTTATCAATTCAAAGTACTATTCTTTTTAGAACAAGGGATAATTAGGATGATATTTGTGATTTAAAATAATTTTTTAAAATTCACTTTTAACTCATTACTTTGTGAGATATATAAAGCATTCACATTACTCATCTTGCTTAATTGATCAACTCAAAATTCCAAAAAAAAAATTCAAAAATTCAAAAATTCAAAAAAAAGTTCAAAAAAGGTGCAAATTTTTGGTTGATGCCCAAGGGAAAAATTAACCAAACTCATTATAACAAATTGACGGAGATTTTTACAGGATATAATGACGTCTACAATGCTTTGTACATGCTGAAAACAAATGACGAAGAAAAATTAAACGCAATTTACAAAAAAATCAAACAAAACCTTATCGACTCTTATCAAATTTCCCCTGGTGATATTATCATTGATATATCCGAACTTTCAATTTATAACAACCGCTACATGAAGTCATATTTAGCGATTGCCAAACAAATTTTTGACGAATACCATCTAAATCATGTTAACGAAATCAACAGAGTTTTTAATTACCTTTTCTACAAAGAATACAGTACAGTATTGAATGAAAACGAGGGAAAAAGTTTTAACGATTTTGAATATTCTCATTATTCATCTGATATTCACGAACAAAAGACAATTCGCAGATCTATTATGGATGATGACAAAATTGCATTGGTAATTTTTACAGAAGGAGAAGAATTTGATAAAAATCAAAAATTAAAAAGTAATTTATATCCATATTCATATGAAGGTATTTCATTACTTGAATTATGTTGTTATCATGGATCTGTTAATTGTTTTAAGATCTTAATAACGAAATTTCAATCAGAAATCACTCCAGATTGTCTTAGATATTCGTTTTTGGGTGGAAATCCAGACATTATGTATGAATGCTTGAAAGTACAAAAACCAGATAATGAATGCATGAAATATGCAATTATATCACACAATATCGATTTTGTCACATTTTTGATGAATGAACACAACAAAAAAATTGATTTAAAATTGTGCTCTAAATACAATAATCTTCAATCATTTTTAGTTTATTTGGATCAAACCAATGATATCAACACATGTTTTGTTTATTCTCTGAACTTCCATCTTTCATCACTTTTAGAATACTTTATTTCAAATGGTGCAGATATCAATGCTAAAACTAAAGGTGGATTGACCCCTCTTCATATAGCAGCCTTTAAGAATTACCAAGAAACATCAGAAATTCTTATTTCAAATGGTGCAGATATCAATGCTAAAACTGAATTTAGCTGGACCCCTCTTCATATAGCAGCCAGAAATAATTGTAAAGAAACATCAGAAATTCTAATTTCAAATGGTGCAGACATCAATGCTAAAACTAAAGATGGATGGACCCCTCTTCATCTAGCAGCCAGAAATAATTGTAAAGAAACATCAGAAATTCTAATTTCAAATGGTGCAGACATCAATGCTAAAACTGAAGATGGATGGACCCCTCTTCATCTAGCAGCCAGAAATAATTGTAAAGAAACATCAGAAATTCTAATTTCAAATGGTGCAGACATCAATGCTAAAACTGAAGATGACTGGACCCCTCTTCATCTGGCAGCCATTAATAATTCCAAAGAAACATTAGAAATTCTTATTTCAAATGGTGCAGATATCAATGCTAAAACTGAAGATGACTGGACCCCTCTTCATCTGGCAGCCATTAATAATTCCAAAGAAACATTAGAAATTCTTATTTCAAATGGTGCAGATATCAATGCTAAAACTAAAAGTGGATGGAACCCTTATCATCTAGTAGCCAGGAATAATTGTAACGAAACTGAAGGAATTATTATTGCAAGCAAGACAAAATAAAGAGTCTCCTGATACAAACTATTTAGTACTGAAAAAGTGACAGAAAAATGACAATAAGGAAAGACGATTAAAATTAACTCAATTATTCACTTTTTTTCAATTGAAAAATAATTAAGAAACTCATTGTCCATTTTGCGATTTTCTCAACTTCTTTTTTTCTGTGTATGTTCTCAACTGATAGTTGCAGTTTGACAATCCATTAAAAAACTATGCGCATTGTCATTTGTATTTCACCTTCGCAAGCAATCATCGAAAGTTACGACACAATTACTTCAAATGCTAATTCACCATATGCTTGATCTCTAAATTCTATATGCACATTATTTCTATCAAATATAGCACCTTTGGCAGCAACTCTTCCATTTATTACAGCTTGAACAGTGACATCATTTGAAACGAATTTTGTTCTGTCAACATATACTCTACACAACTATGTTTAGAGACAAGACAGTTCTTCAATGTAACAAACGACTCAAGTTCAACTGCTATTCCCAAATGTTTGTTGTTGACATGAAAGAGATATTTGACTTGTTGAAATTTATAAACTGCGAGAAAAAAATGAAAGTATTCGATTTTTAATAGTTTATATCAAGTTATTTTTTCATTATTGGAAACAGTTTGCTAGGCTTTTCAATTTTTGCCATCTAAATAATTCCGCAAGTATGATTAACTTTTGCATGATCAATCTTTAAATCTCATGCAATTAAGTTAATATATAATTTCAACAATTTCTCGACAACTTCAAACTTCTGATAATTGGGTTGAAGTAAACCAATTTTCCTAGGTAATGTCTTTCTATCGTTTTTCTGCCTCAATATTGAGTAAATCTCTAACAAAAATTAGAATAAGATAATTTACGAAGGAAAAGGAGTTAATTATTGATATTTATCCATTAACATACCGAGTACGGTTATGTTTATAACATTGTAGAGAAGAATTTTGAAAGAAAATGGAAGAAATCTACAGATCATTGGAATCAGTTAAACCGAGTTTTCTCAAGAAGAAATTTGATGAAATCGAAACAAGGAATAACTTAGAAAGAAGACTACAGTTTCGTGCAGAATTAGAGAGAAAATTCGAAGAGAAAAAGAAGATCACAATGGAAAGATGCATGAAAGAAGTGAAAATTCCTTCTGGAAGAAAATTGATGCCTAAATCTAGTCCAAGGAAAATAAAGGTAAAGGATATGAAGAAGGAAATGGAAGAGGCAGAAAGAAAGAGGAAAGAAGAAGAACTGTTGTTTGGTGATATTTTTAGTGACTGAAAAAAAATGACATTGTTTGTTTGTAATAATAATAAAAATATGTTTATAGTTTAATCGATTCATTGATTCATAAATAAATGATAGCTTAATTACCCAAATATAGTTTAAGAGTTACTCATATAGTAAAATAGAATGTAAATTGCGCAATGATTCAAATGAAATTGATTTTTTTGGGTAGAAAAATAAGCAACTGTAATAATGGCGAAAGTGATAAATTATATTTCCATTACATGCTGGAAATTGATTGAAGCTCATATGATGGAAGATGTTCTAATTTTTCAATTTTTAGCCTCTTTTAAATTGAATATAATTCAATTTATGAGGCCACTCAATGAAAAATCATAATACACTTTTCCGACATTTTGTCAGGTGCGCGAAGCGACCCAAAAATGTCTGAAATGTGCAATTCTCATGAATATGATTATTTTTGCTTTTAATGCCGAACAGCATTTGAATCAAAAATAATCGTATGTCTGAGAATTTTAATTTTTCAAATTGGAAATTTTATGGTTTTGACACCGATCTCGATTTAATGATGTTCTTCTTTATTATTCAAATAGTAGATGCGTTCAAAGCATCTAAGCGTTATAGTATACTTACTAATAAGTATAATGAATACATTGATGCATGGGATTCAATATACAATTTAAACTCAGATGATATAATCTCAGCAGCAAAGTTATACATGAAAATCAAAGATTACTTGATAGAAACTGGATATTTTACACCACAAGAGATGATTCATTCGATAAGAAATTTTGGCCTTCAAAGATTAAAATATCGTCATGCATACCTAGAGGTAATGAAAGCAATAAATAGAGAATATCATTGTGATAATGATTTTGATATCAGATCTCTTTCAGAATCAGATGCTGCAAATACAATTCATGAAATTATATTAAATGATGATCAGAAAAAATTATATAATTTTTTAAACCTGGGAAATCACAATCTTAGTGAAATACTTCAATTTTGTTGCGAACAAGGAGCAGTTAATTGTTTTTGGGCACTAATAGATTCCTACAAAGTGCCTATCACAAAAGAATGCCTTGATGCTTCATTTCTAGGAAACAATCAAGAAATCATAGAAGAATGTTTGAGAGCACAAGAACCTGATTCATCTACATTGGGAAATGCAATTGCATCTCATAATATGGATAATATTAAGAATTTGCTAACAAATTACAACTTAAGATATCCTATAGATAAATGCGCTTGTTACAAAAATCTTCGTGCATTTCTTATACATCTAGTATCAACTGATGATATGAACATATGTTTTGTATATTCTCCTTCTTTTCATATTCAATCATTTTGCGAATATTTTCTTTCGAAAGGTGCAGATATTAATTATGCACATGAACATTGCTACACAGAACTTTCCGTTGCAGCTAAGGAAAAACAAAATGATATTGCAAAATATCTGATTATGAAAGAAATTGTTATTAATTATCAGACAATTTTGTATCCATCTGCATTTGAAATTGCAGTAGTTTCAAACAATCCTTAATTGGTGGAGTTGCTTAATTCGCATGGAGCCGTTATCAATCGTCGAAGCTACAAAACCAACTTAACATCAATTCATTTTGCAGCTGTAAATAATAATAAAAAAGTTATCGAAATTCTAATATCCAGGAGTTCACAAATAATAAACAGATCTATTAATTATGGATTCACACCTCTACATTTAGCGTTACTATTTAATCATAAAGAAATTGCTCAATTTCTTATTTCACATGGAGGAAAAATCAACACAACAGACTATGATGGAAATAATGCTATTATTTATGTATTATTGCATAATTATAGAACAATCAAGGAAATCATTATTGATGAAATGGATAAAATATGTAGTTTACCTGATGATTATAAAAATTCTTTAATTTTAGGAAGCAACAACAATGATATGATTGAATTTCTGATTTCAAATGGCGTAAATATCAATATGAAAAATTTTTATGGAAATAGACCTCTTCATATAGCAGCATTATTATCTAATAAAGAGGGTGCTGAAATATTAATTTCTCATGGTGCTGAAATAAATTCTTTAAATAAAAATAGTCAGACTCCTCTTGATATTGCTGTAATGCTTAACAAGAAAACTCATGAAGATATTCTCAAAAATAATAAAATTGAAATGAATATTGTTCGCGAAAATAACATTGATTTTCTTGATTCTTTGATCGAAGATTCTGAAATGGAAGCTCTCTTAAAATCGCATGGTGGAAAAACTAATCCAAACAGTAAATTAACTGGCGATGAAGATATTTTGTTTGTTTATATCTGGAAACGCAAATCATTGGAAATCAGATTGCCTATTGTAACGATAATTTTGCTCTTTTTAGTGAAATACTTAAAACAAAAAATAACTAATCAGCACATTTTGAAATTTATCCAAACATTAATATATGTATTAATTGGAATCATTTGCATTGATATACTTTTCATTTTAAATG